AATCGTTCCTTTTAGAACATTGTTTTTACTCCATTGATGAATTTTATTCAGTGAGAACTGTTCAGCATACTGGATAGCTTTTATTTCACTGTTTCCATATGACTTATTACTTTGTAATGTATTCTTCTAGACTGACTATTCCTTTACAAAATGTACTTTTGTCGTTCAAAGGAAAATAAATGGAAAAAATATCCATAGCTATCGATTTCTTCTCAATATATTGGAAAAAATCAATTTATTTTATTTGTGTGACCCCTAGACGCTTTGGAATATCCAAGACAAGTTATAATATTTTTTGAATTCATTTATTTTTGGCAGATTGGTTCAGGCATGAAAATATATGCATAAGAAGGTGGGTAGTTTTTAGGCTGATTTAATTAGTTTGGTTGAAGAATCTATAACCTTTGACTTGGGGGAAAAATTAGATTATTTTGAGTTAGGCGTCGGAAAAAATCTATACCTATATCGATAAATAATTTCAAAAATATCGATATATTGATATATCAAACTTATCAATGTTTTGACTTATCAATAATCAATATGTGAAATCCGAGGTGAAATCTAATAGCACGCAGCCCTAACCCCAACCGTTGATTGATATATTATTGATATATTACGCTTACGCTGGGAAGATGCCCAACCTGTGTTATTTGCGAGTCGATGCCCCTCTCATCCCCTCGTCTATCGTTTAGCCACTGTGAGGTAGCGACTCCACTAGGCACACAGAACATGTCTGAACTAATTGTACAGATTACTACACTTTTGTACAGAATTACAGATCCCATCCCACCGCGTGCTATCGCTCCAGAAATTCTTGTTTATCCTTGTCTTCTACGATGAGACCCGACTCGCCCGACCGGTTCCGATAAAAAAATGTTTGCTACGGTCGGTGAATCCCATGGACAGTATTGATTTTTTCCTCGGTTCCTTGCGGAGGAGAGAAGAACAGAACATATTATTATGATCTCTCACTCATTTGGGTTCCTACTCCGTGGCGTTTTTTTAAATTCCCTTCCCTTGTGAATAACTTGTCATACTTTGCCTAGACCCTAGACCAATATAATTTGTATATTATCTGGAAAAACATCTCACGCCTTTTTCGTTGATTATTTTTTTTACTCAATTTGTATCCATTTTAAAATTTTGTATTAATAAGACATTACAAAATATTGATAATATAATCAATCTGAATGTGATAATTTCTTAGAGTCCCATCAGTTGATCGAAAATAAATAGTCAGATATCTTTGAATCTTTGATTGTTAATGGTTCACTATAAAAATGAAATAAAATACATCATCTATAATAGGCATAATATACAGAGTGAGTCATAACTATTGGAACATATATAGAATTCATTTATTTATTGGATTACAAGAGTTGATGCTGCAAGCTTATGAACCATTTTTTACAGTATCTAGTTGTTGAAAAATATGAACTCTTTTTTGGTATATTTGAGATAAAAACAAAATCAACTGAAAACAACTACATTTCCAGTCTATATGCCACGATATAATATAATCATGAAATCGGCGTTGATATTTTGTGATACCAGTAACCTTTTCTGAGTAGAATCGATTTTGCCGCTCCAAAACAAACGGAGTACAGACTACGGAACGCTCAGAATCTCCGCCCTAACAACACAGGGATGTACTATATAGGTACTTCCCCTCTTTGTCACACGGTACAAGGACATAATTGGGGTATCCAGGGAATGTCCCGCACATCCATAGGTTATCCAATTCGTGTCCTTGGTATATCTGATATCTATTCACATCAGAGTCATTGACTTTCATCAAAATATTGAGTTGAATTTTTATGAAAATGTTTGGTTTTTTTCCGGTAAATAATTGTAATGAAAATAAAGAAAGTCAGAACTTCTCAAGAAATGACCATTTTTCGCAAACAGAAATCGTAAATGCATATAATGCCCCTCATTTTTAAACATCCACGAATGATATAATAATTATACCCAAATCCTAACAAAGTATTGTATTTATTCAAGTTTCTGCAGTTTGGTCCTGTTTAAAAATCTGTTTGGTACATAAATCTTCAGAAGGCATATCAGCCAATGGAGTAAGGTGCGTGCCTGAAAAAGCTGAAGGTCCCGGGTTCAAGCCCTACTCGACCTACATTTTTTTCTTTTGTCGAAGGGATGTCCCTGGAATATCCTTGGGACCTCCTAGGGATATCCTTTCTTCGTACTTGGTACATCCCAGGGACGTACCAGACGGAAATCCCTTGGATGCTTTTTTTGTCAGCCAGCTGATGTCCCTGGGGCGTCCCTAGTATGTACTCTGTCCCGACAAAGGATATCTCTGGGATGTCCTTGTATAAAATCAGGGACGTCCCTGAGAAGTCCCCAGGATGTAATTGTGTTGTTAGGGCGACAATAAAGGACGACTTGGCATCCCTATCGCCGACAAACGCACCGAGTCGGCCGCCCCACATAAATCAAAGGAAATTATTGGCACTCCAAGTTTCGGCAATACATAGGTCGGATCATATACCAGTATAAAATACTTTGGATTGATAGCGGTATAGAATTGTCACGCAATGTTCCGCGTTTTTCATGTGATAAATATCAGTAATTTCAATAATAAAAATTTCAAAAATTGTACATAGCTCTGACAAGAAAATGATTTGCGACAGTGAATTATCGTTTGATTTAGTAATTCGACATAATGAAATATGAAATTCCACTCAAACAGACCCATTTTAGATTCAGTTCTAGGGTAAAAAACACTAAGGTGACAACACTGGTCCGGGTTCGTGAATTTCAATCAAATTTATGAGCAGTTTATATATTGATATCCGCTGACCAGTGACCAGTTTATTCCACAATCGCATGATCTCACGTCCGTGATGCGCTCGTTAGAAGCCTGACGAATAAAAGAAATACAACTAATACTAACAAATTCGAATTTACCGCCATATTAGTCAGAATCGTACTGATTGATCATGGATTCGATATACAAGCGTTTAATTGTTCCAAGTCGCACGCCATCTGCATTCCAATAGATTCTCTTCGTAAGTGGCGCACCTGCCCGTCAAATTACGAACTATTGCTCCGACATCGTTCGACACTATCGCCGCCACTATGTGAGATTTCGAACTATGGTACGCCATCTAGTTGTGAGATTTTTTTGGACCTCGTTTTGCCCCATAAGGTTGGGCATCTTCCCAGCGTAAGCGTAATATATCAATCAACGCCCCAACTGTAGCAACCGAGACAGCAACAGTAAGAGCGTTGTTTCAGTTGTTTGATATATTACACTGAGTATTACACTTAAGAGAGTGAGAGTGGAGCCGTTGTGGAGCTTCGGAGGTCTCTATCTTCTGACGAAACTACTTATTACAGTTCTTCTTCATCAATATTTTTTAATTTTTTTGCAGGAATTGTGGAGGCCCAGTTTGGTTAAAGTCGAGGTTAAAGTTAAAAGAGTTGAACACTGGTCCGCTGATAGCATGGCGTCAGCCCACATTGTTAATTGGCGTTCTGAAATTTAGATCTCAAAACAATTTTCACGGGAGTTTCCTCTTTTTTTTACCATGATGATTGAAGTTTTTATGCACCGAATCGGTACGCTTGCGTCCGAAATGTATCACATGATCCAGTATGACCTGGATTATCATCAATAGGGATTTGCCAATGATATATTCTCCCCCTCTTAATCATAAAAGTTGGGGTCACGAGGTCATCGGGGTAGGTAGGTAAGCAACTCATAAATATAAGAAACATCATCACACTTTAGCACCTTGATTCACCCTAGCTGTATCTCAAGCACAGAGCATTTTAGGTCCATGTCTCGACCCATGTGTGCTTATACTTTTCATACATTTTACAGACATTATACCAGAAAATTACTGGTGAAGTGAAATATTGCCTTCTGATTCCGGAACACCCTGTACACGGTCACACACGGTAGGTAGCGAGCAGTAGAGAGGTAGGTAAAGACAATGACGGCTAAATATCTAGAAGATATCAAGTCAATATCAAGTAAGCAAAGAGCTCAGTCAGCTCGGTAGTGAGGTAGGTAGATAGGTAGATTGGTAGGTAATCAGTACTGTGTGGCAAGCCAAATTTTGGGTTGTTTTTCCTTTTTTATTTACATTGGCTTGGAATTTTCCTCTGATTCTTTGTCTTCTTTGTTCTTAGTTGGCCCAGTAGGAAATTTGTATTGGCAAACTTTTATTTGTTTTAATTTTCTGTAACTTATTTGGGATTACAAAATTCCCAGCAATAGGTAGGTATTGAAAATAAAAAGGAGCGGAAAGGCATGTAAAGAGGGTTGGAATGTACCTTGGGGTGTACGGATGTACCATGTACCTACCTTTACCTACCTATTATCCCTAATTATATACACTAGGTAAATTAGTGTATGTGTGGTTGGATTCATAATGGGTAATTAATAGGTAATAGGTAACTGTAATAATTATTGGGGTCATTGGTAAAGGAGACCATAAATTGTAAATATTAAATTTGTATTTGTAGGGATATGAAAACATCACAGTGCCGCTAAGTGGAAAGGTAGAATATTTTCGTCCCAACATCGCTTTAGCTTTTCCTACCAACAACAAAAAGATCGAAGGTACCACGTGCTCAAATGGAAAAGTATGTTGTCATGCTATTTAGACATCACATCAATACTCAGTTCATTTTCTATTTACCGCAACTTCAATGAAATATGAGACTTACAGTCTCTTGAAATAGAGGCTACAGTAGAATAGGAAGCTCGTCTGACGTCACCTGCTCAATAAATACTTCACATGGATTTCCAAAATGACTCGCCGTGTTTATTTGGGTCCACAATGTTGGCCCGGTTGGCCTCGAAAACGGGGTATTGATTTTCAATAAATATAACCCAAGCAACCCAAAAAGCTACACGTGATCCTATAGCATGTGCAATTTTTAACCTTTCAAGGCCTCCTTTGATAAACACAGTAATAATTATATTGATGCGAGTAGTACTTTGTTTACATAACATTAGCTCTACTTACGTCTTGGGTAACCTGATTGAGGGGGCCCCTTTTCGTTGAAACACACCATCGACGAAAACTCCATTTTTTCCATTGCACATCATATAAAAGTAGGGATGTTCGAAGAACACCTCCAAATGCCTTCGCGAAATAAAACTAGAATGTCCCATATTTACATCTACATCACCACGTGAACTGTTTCTTCCTATGATGACCCGATTTTGCCGTACTAAATATTCGAATTCACGACCTTCTATTTTCGCAATGGGATCACCCTTATCTTCAGGGCTCCACTGTACCTTCGAAGGACTAGCGGGAGCCGATTTCAAGGCAAGAAGAGCCCATGCATCGCTTTCCGAAGTCACCGAATATGAAGACATGGTGAATCTCACTTCACAGCACTTTTTCGACAACAGTACTAAAAAGTATCCCACTCAATGTTTACCTAGAAAAACTTGCAAACGTGGGAGTCACCTGTATTGCTACTTTGTGTGTATGTGGATTTCATAACGAGTCCGTCGATAGAAATGTTGGTAAACACGTGAGATTGGCGTAAAAACAGTCGTGAAACAGTCACTTGGCACGGTAATTTGAGACGGAATATTTATGGAGTAGGTCTTGACAGGAAAAGGACAGAAGACAGTAACAATCATTACACTTTACACTGAAAACAAAACATGATTTCTTTGAAGTATTTTAGGCTTCACATTTCACTATTCACATCTGTCTTCCATCAACTTGTTTGTAGTTTTGACTTTTGACAGAAGATTCAGACATTTATGTCATAAACGTCAAATATTTTCACTTCTATCGGAACTTAAGGCGAGTTCCCAAAGCAGCGTTTTCTTCTCGTCGTGCCTCGCATATTCTTGAATTCAGCATTCTATGGATATTCAAAAAAAAAATTAATTACACATAGGGTGTTCCAGGCATCTTAGGTGTTCCATTTGAAAAAATTGTCACGGACATCATAAGTCAAACGTGGATCACCCTGTATATTTAATTGTCCCTTATAAATGTGACAAATTGATTATTAGCTGAGACATCGTCATGCTTCAGGATATTCTCCAAAAATGTATGTTTTTTTGGCTAAATATGACTGTATTCAGTACTTTAGGGAAACACTGTAGGTGTATGACTATTAGTTTTTATTCGCGATAGAAAATAACACGTCGCCCCACCTGACGGGAATATTTGAACACTTCCTGAGCGGTTTGTTTTGATGGATGTGACGGGACACTAATGAGAACAAACAAAAAACAAAAGCGAACTTACCTCGGTATAAAGTTGTTTAGTTTTGGCGCTCTGACGACTCTGAAGTTACGATTTTCAAATCGTTTTTGCTTCACTTTGAAACGGCTCATGAGATTTTAATCAAATATTTGGTTATTGGGAAATAAAACCCATTTCATGATTATGATGAATATCATTCCATGGGCGTAGAACTTGATTTTTTCAGTAAATATACATCTAAAACTTCTAGGACAATATGGAGAGAAAGGAGTTTGAATATCAAATTTGGATTACGTAACTTGTTTACTACAAAAAAGGCGTGGATGATTCCTGATGATGAAAACGACTGGCAAATTTTTGGTGACCAATCTTTTTAGTGGTTTTGTGAAAAAAATATGACAAACATATCATTCCTATGTAATATTAATTGTTACTCCCGTTGAAACTGCAATATTTTCATCCGTTTTCGAGAAGTTCAATAAGTATCGGAAGGGGGATTTCAATTATTATTTCATTTATGAAGAGTGTGTGCTTTGGACTGTCTGATAATTTTTGCTGGTAAATGATACATTTCCTGTCAGTGAATCCTTTTGGCGCGAGTTTATAGTCAATACTTTTTCGATTGAAACGCCCAGTATCTTTTCCAACAGTAATTTTTCTCAAGGCATATTTGGTCCTATCGATTATTATTTCGGTCCAAACAATCTCCCCTTAGCGCCCTAAAAATAGTTATATGACTCACTCTGTATAATAATCTGTCAGATGTGAGGCTATAGAGATTAGATATATAGTGGTGAATCAAAGGATATCGAGAACTAAAACCATGCATGTCATCATCCAACATATTTTTTAGTATATAAAATAATTTAAACAATAAATTTGAAGCTGTAAAGTTTTATTATGATCCTATTGTAAATTATAGAAAAAAATTGAAAGGCGATTCTGATGAGCCGAAATGGGTGCCAGGCGAGTCTAGAAGCGGGGGAAATATATGATATGCTGACAAAAATTATTTGCTGACCGCACATTTTCTATTTTTATCTATACTAATATTATAAAGAGGGAGGATTTGTTTTTTCCCTTTGTATTGAATACTTGAATAGGCTCCGAAGCTACTGGACCGATTTGGCTGAAAATTGGTGGAGGCAGCTTAGAACCAGGAGACGAACAAAGGATAACTTTTAACACCGTAGAAATCCAATATGGCTGATGACTTTGCGACTATGGTCCGAATTTATTTAAAATTGGTATCTGAGAGTTTCCATCAGGGTTGGAGATTATAATTCTTTCGTCAAAATAATTTGGAAATTCAAGATGGCGGATCCAATATAGCGAACGAGTTTCTTAATGGTCCGATTCTATTCAAAATTGGTATATGGGAGTTTTTGAGGTCAGAGATTATGATTATTTTGTCAAAATTGGAAAATTCAAGATGGCGGATACGATATGTCGGATTTTGTGATTATAATTTGATTCTTTTCAAAATTGGCATCTGGGAGTCTTCAGGGTTCGAGATTATGATTCTTTCGTCAAAATTTGGAAATTCAAGATGGCAGAGACGAGTTTCATTGTAAAAGTATAATATCCGATTCTATTCTCAAAGTGTTTGAGGTGAAATATCATGATTCTTTCGTCAAAATTGGAAAATTCAAGATGGCGGATCCAATATATAATGGAGAAACGACTTTTGTATTTATGATACCATACTATTCAAAATTTGTATCTGGGGGTTTTTGGAGTCGGAGATTATGATTCCTTCGTCGAAATTAGGAAATTCAAGATGGCGGATCCAATATAGCGGACGAGTTTCGCACCTCCCTGTATATTAAATCATGTTTGCCATATAAGGAAACGATTTGTATGATCGAAATCATCCTTAGGTACCAAGTTTCGTGATTCTAGTATCAATGATAACAAATACAGGGTGTAACTAAATAAGTGTAAAACATTCAAGGGGGTGATTCCTCATCGAAAAAAAGATAGGATCTTTCATATAAAGAAACTTCATTGGAGCATCCCTCCTTGAAGGGGGTACATTAAATTTATTTGTTTAACAATGTTTTTTCACAAATTAAGAACAGAACAACAATACACAATTAGTATTACTCCAAGTTTGAAAATTTACAAACTGACAGCTTGATAACAATTCAATTGTCACTATCGCTAATAGCGGCCTACTAAATTAGTTTCGTATTTTCGTTTTATGGCGATATATGCATGTTGTTCGTAAGATAATTTATTGCTGCGAACTGGTTTATTTTGGGCAAAAAGTTCAAGGGACATTTTTTGTTCAGAATGAAACAGGCTATCGGAAATAAATTCTTATATGGTAAACAAATAATAAGACAAGAAGTTACAATGGAAATAAAATCTAGGGGTTGCGTTTTCCACCCCTTTCAACCATGGGGTAAACCAAATAAATTACTGGCTAAGTGTCTTTTTGGTAGTAGAAAATGTCAGGTTAATTTCGATACTGTAACTTTTTTAGTGCTTGTGAAAAAAATTGTTAAACAAATTTTATGTACCCCCTTCAAGGAACTGTATCTTAATATGGGATGCTCCAATGAAGTTTCTTTACATGAAAGATCCTATCTTTTTTTCGATGAGGAATCACCCCCTCAAATGTTTTACACTTATTTAGTGACACCCTGTATAATAATAATTGAAGAAAACTGCATTCAAGGACCTAACATCGAATAGAGTCACTGGATGGTATTAGTAAGATAAGAGATCGGACACAAAAATGCCAACTTGTTAACTGTAAGTGTTTTTAAATGTTCAGATTTATTGAAGTTACACACCTTGCATTGTGACAAGAGCACCATAGTCGTTCTGTGCTTTTTCATTCAAAATTGTTTGAACTTGACAATAAATTTCAGAATTGAAATATTGAGAAATAAGCATGAATGAACAGGTCAATTTGTGAACGATTTCATACTTACATTATTTCTCAGTTCAGTTGGTAGGTTATTATAATGATTAACAGCTTTGCAAGTGATTGAGCTTTGAGTTCTGGTAGATTTGAATCTATCAGGCCGTAAATTGTTTGCCGCTCCTGTTGAGTAATTGTGAAACTGGTTATTAGGAATAAGTTTGATTGTTGTTTTTATGTAGTTATCATTTATTTTATGAATAGTTTTCGATGATTCAAACTTGATAGCTTTAGCCAAATAATTGTAAACCACAAGTTGCACATGTATTTATTTTAAAATCAGAATTTATTTCTACAATGGACAAGATGCACAAACAATAATTATTATTCCAATACATTCATAGTCTTACCATTATATTATTATTCTTAAAATTCTCTCCTGTGATACTTATCTGGATCGAAGTATGAAGTAACAACAACACGATTGCTGAATTTCCTTCCAGTCAAAGTTTGTTGTGCTTTCTGACAATCCAATACTGAATTGAACTCAACGAACACCTAAAACATTACAAAATATAACACATATTTATTATCCATCAAGTGCTCAAATTTAATGTTATTTGTCCAACCTTTCCACATCCAGGAACCTCGACTCCTTCAATAGGTCTCGGAATTTCTATACTCCTTACAACACCGTACTTGTTGCACTCTTCTTTGATATCTTCCAGTATGTCTTCATATTCCTCTTCATCTTTCAATTCGTCAGGAGTTACCTGTACATCATTGACATATTAAAATGAATACAAATAAAAAACGCGAATGACAATGAACAACGTCAGTTGTCATCAGGGATAAGTGGTAATCAACTTTTTCATCGGATTAAAATGGTGAACGGTCCAAATACAAAATAATGGCACAGTATTCATATACGTTCACAATTCTGTACAAAACATGGGAAATATCTAGTCCAATCTCGATAATAATTTTATTAATGACTCTTTTGAAAATCTGGCAACGTTGTAGTTCAAGGAACCAAAAACTGAGCATGCGCACATCATGAAACAAGGCGCATATGCGACACGCTTTTCGCTGTGAAACTTGATGGGAATCGGCATTCTAGTGTCCGTATATATATAATGATTTGTAAAAGAGTGAGAAGGATATACAGGATGCCTCACTTCAAACGGCATGTTATTCTTACCCAATTTGGACCGGTGTGGATAACCATCAACATGATCAGTTTTTCAGAAATGAACATTATTTTGGACAGTGCTGTGGGTTTTTATTGAAATGAAAAACGGAGTAAATTTTTTATGAAATCATATTTTCCTTGGTTCTCACGATGTTCTATGTTCCCTTTTCGTGGGAACCAGAACTTAAAAAAAATTATTAGGATTTTTTTTACAGGAAAAGTGACCTCGCAATATTCTTCATGGTTTCAAACCCCCCATAAGTACATTTTCATATGATTTATATAAGGGTTTCAAAAGAACAGGCACATCTAAAAAGTATCGTTGCGAACATAAATAATTATTTACTCGGAAACGGCGAGTTCAACAAAAAAGTTAGATTTTGCTTTTTCTTTCTTTCACCTGTCGCTATGGAACGTTCCAAAATTCGCAGTTGATATAAATTCACCATTTCTGCAAGGCAGAAAATGCATATTTTTATATATTATATATAATCGCATATGGAGGTTTGAAGCATGAAAAACAATAATATGAAGTTAGTTTTCCTGCAAAAATGCCTAATTTTTCTAGATTAAATAGACCTATTTCCTTTCAATAAAAACGCACGGCCCTTTCCAAAAGGATGAACTGGTAATAGCTGAGATATAGAAGGGGGGCGTTTAAAGTGAGACATGCTGTATGTTCTTCAGTTCGATCGCATAAAAGGCATAGCTTCTTTTTCATAGCATTAGCAGTCCAGCTAGATAGAACTTATGTCTGTCGAATGCTTTATGCAATCGGCCCTAAGAACATCATTTAGGGACAAGGTACATTGAAGATTTCAAGTTTATGACGAGAAGAATTTCAAAATCAAAGATTGGTTTGAGCAATTTGGACTTCTTCACAAGTTTGAAGATTGGTTTGTGCCAAATAGCATAAATATGGCCAACCATGATGGCAGGAAGATAGGAACAACTATGATAGTAGTATTCTGTTCAATTTGAATTGTTCATTATCTTCTACATAAGCATTTGCGTTTTATCATATTGGTTGCCAGTTTATTTACAGGAAGCTATTACAAAATAGGGAGAAAATAACACTGGGTGGAGTTGCCGACACACAAATAGTTATTTATTATACAAGGGAAAAAATTAGTAGATATTAGCTTATAATGTAACCTAATCCTAAAAATCTAACATTTTTTCCGCGTATAATACACATTTTTTTGTGACAGGAAAAAGGACGAATCAATATTGAGAAGATATTTCATTACATTAAAATCAGAAAATTATTATCCACTTGAAATTTGGAGGTTTTAACAGGAATGACACCTGCGTGTCTATCATTCTGATTCCGTGATTTGATTTTTGAAAATTGCAAATTTAGTGGTTGTTTAGTATTTACATAACTGCAAAGTCGTATAGAAGATAAAAGAACTTGCAGTTCTTTCTCGGAGATGGTGTTATTGGTTGATTTTTCGAAAGTATAGCACAAAAAAAAATTCTCAATTTTTTCCCGTGGGAAAAAAATAATTTATCAAAAGTGACATTTTATAACCTGTCAACAGAGAGAGATGAAATTTCAAACCTTTGTAAAAAATGTACCTTTATAATTTTGAATATCTGATAAAATATCTCTACTAGATCGCGCGCGCGAGAGACATAGATCAATAGAACTATAACGTGAAAATCTCTTATAAGTAAAAAGATGCATTAATATTGAATAATACTGAACTTGCATGTTTCTAAACAAATCTTGAATCATTAAACAAAATCTTGCACCTTTATAAAAATAAAAAAGAAACCACGCAAAAATATGAATATTAAATTGAAAAATATAGGTACACTACCATATTGAGAAGGCATAGGACTTCAGTGGGTGGTCCTGATGCTCCAACAAGACTGAGTCCCGGTACCTGAATCTGCACGGCAGGTAACACAGTGGTGTTTTTAGCACCAACACTGGCTCGCTGTACAATCAATCTCTTGTCGCCCAGTTGCATACCATTCAAACCAGCAATCGCCTTGAGTTAGAAAAAAATGTTAATTCTGTTAGTGAGAATTTCACCAGAGAGAAAAAATCAAGCTCTTTGTTTCCGTTTGAACCCTGTCTATCACAGGAAGCGTTAGTCCCATATACCTATACAATTACTGAATGCATTATTGAATGATTGTTGAGGTGTTGCTACCATAAGTATGTAATTTTGACGTATCCTAAAATTATAATGTAATAAAGAATATTTATTGTCTTCAGGGGTCAGCGCATACTTTCGTTGTCAACCTCGAAATATGTCGAACAGCACTATATCAAAACTCGTTTCTCTATAGAACGGGAAAGCTCTGGAATTCATTGCCTAAGGAAATATTTTCAAGAACTTACAATCCCCAAAAGTTCATAGGTATTGTATGTATGTATATGTATTGTATGTGCTGACCGTCGATCCTAACTGGTATTTCAAGTGATGAAATCATTTCTGAAATTTTTCGTAGGAGTATAGATAGATCAAAATCGCGTTTTGTCTTACGCCTGAATAGATAGGGCATTCAAACAGAATATGTTGCATGGATTCAATTACTTGTATAATGCAAATTGAGTCAACATCTGTAGTGTCAATATTATTATTAAATGATTGTATAATTATTGTCTTCAGAACTCAGCGCATCCATTCGTTGTCAACCACGAAATATGTCGAACAGCACTATATCTAAACTCGTTTCTCTATAGAACGGGGAAGCTCTGGAATTCATTGCCTAAGGAAATATTTCCAAGAATTTACAATCCCAAAAGTTAAAAGAAAATCCAACACCCACCTCCTCTCCCTATCCTCCCTAGGTACGCACGATGTTCTTCTAAAATTATAGGTATTGTATGTATGTATATGTATTGTATGTGCTGACCGTCTGTCCTGAATGACTCGTCTGATGAATTAGAGTGATGATTCATAGGCCACGCGTTTTGAAGAACCTACCTAATGAAATATGAATCAGAGTGCTCATAGTACTTATGCAATTGAAGATTTTTCCATTGGAGCGCACGAAAGGGAATCCCTATAATGTTCGAAGAACATCATCCGTACCTAGGGAAAGGGTATTGGAATGTTTTGTACTTTTGCAGGAAGTTCTTGGCTTCTTTTGGCAAAGAATAAGCTTTGCCGAGTTTTGATATAGTGTTGTTCGACGAAGAACGAATGGGGGGGGGGAGGGGGTGCACGTATTTTCCTTGATGGGGTTTAATGAAGTGGATTGAATTAGTGTGATGACTCAAAGTGCACATGTTATCAAGTACTTAATGAAATATAATTGAATTAGATTATAGAGTGTTTTCCTTGATTATGGTAATTGATTCCATGATTAATTAGGGGGAATTAAATGGAGTGCTGTGATTGGTTGCTTGATGCCATGATGTCGGTAACAGCTCTCTCAATATATACCAACTCCCTTTCGTGCGCACCCAGCGATAAAAAAAGGAGATAAATTGTATTCTATTTTATACTAAAAATGCTACAAGCTTCAAACTGATCCTATATTTCAAGTGACCATTCTCGACGTCTTCGTTGTCATCACCAAGCTAACCAATAAACGGCAGACGCAATTTTTAAACTTTTGTAGCACACGAAAGGGAATCTCTATTATGTTCGTGGAACATTTTGCGTACCTAAGAATTATAAATAGGGATAGAAAGTAGGTATTGCAATTGTCTCAAACATTTGAGAGTTGTAAGTTCCTGGCAAAGAATTCCAAAGCTTTGCCGTTTTGCAAACAAACAAATTTTGGCAGAGAATTGTTCATTTCCGGAATGTCATTCGTGGTCAAGTCACTGAATAGCTGAAAATCTGAAGGGTATCTCCCATGCAGCAATGAATTTGCGCCTTCGAAGAGCCCACCTGATGTTAGGTTTAGATATTTGATATTTTCATTTCTTCATCTAAATAATCTGACCCAAAAGACGGATTCTAATAGTTGATATTTCATGGAGAAAACGAGACAGGTGGATGTACCTTCATATTGAGGTCAGACCAATCAAAAAGTGCACCACTACTGATGCCACTCAGTTTATAAAGTCACTTTAGGTAATGATATATTTTGTTTTCGTTGCACATGCAGCCATGTCGATGGCCCTTTCTCTTTTGTACGTGAATTTCGATGCTTCGTACACAACGATAAGGCTAGGGACAATCTAGTAGATATATTATATTGTAAGATCATTGGGCATTACGAACCAGGTGAATAGCTCATCTCTGGAATGGAATTCTAAGAACATCAGCGTATGTTTCAGTGCTGGCCATATATGTCTAAAACGGATCGAATTTGTGCATTGCCATTATGAGGAATTGTTGTGGTGTGAAGTAGCAAGTTTTTGTAGCAGCTTTCACGATTGATCTGATATTATCTTCCCGATAAAGAGTATCTGATGATGGTGGTACCAGACATTTTTATAATATGTATTGTTATGATATGTTATTTGAGGAACGAAATAGTTTGATAGAATTGAAAAGTTGATAGAAGTTAGGTGAAAATATCAAACTTTGTTTTGTAGAAGCTAAAAATTGGCTTGCATCACAATGCACCAGTAATTTCGATGAAGTAGTGAACAGATAGTGTAAAAAACATTTTGAGAGGCTTGTAAGTAACTCTGTTGAATGAAATTTTCCATCGAGGGCTATTTCGACAAAATATTCCTATACGGCATTTCCAAAGTTGATAGGATTATTGAAAAATAATCTAGTAGGACCTAATGCCGTACAAAAATATCGGTACTGAAGGCCAGATTTTTTTTATTTTCCAAAAATGTTTGCCCCATTATAGGTCATTTGATCCTGTACGGCGTTTGAAAAAATTAGATTTCTATAACTATGTATATTCATTTTTCGGCAACGCCGTGCGACAGAATTATCTCGAATATTCAGAACATCGTGATATTACTGATGAATACAATTCATGCTGAGTCACATGACCCCTTCCAGAAGTAGCCTGGGCTTGATAAGTTTAGTCAATGAATTAGAAAGTGTAGGGATTGGTCAAGTGAGAGGGATGAAAAAAAAAGAGGTCTGGAGACTTGGAGAAGAGTGCAGGAATATTTATGGGAAAACAACAGAACATTCTGAAGGGTGGTAATGCGATGCTCAAATTGTTTTAAGGAGAAGACAGATCAATTATCTTCATTATGTTACTCTTGCAAAAACTTCTTTATGCCCATATTTCCGAATGAAAAAATGTTTTAATTGATAATGCAAACAGATATTCCCAGTACGAGTTTAATAACATTGTAATACATAATTTAGTTGCCAGTAGAAACAAAGGCAGAAGGTATTTTATAATAAATGATATTCAATATGACGGCCGCCTAATAGAAAGGTCAATTTGGCGTGAAAAATTGGAATGCACCTGTTTTTTTTTAATGAAAACTTTGAACACTTCTCACAGACAAACGGTACATTTTTGTATATAAATAAATCGGGTCCAATCAACATCGCGAAAAAATACGCACAATGGGCGAGTGGACTGATAATGAATTATTTTCATTCAATTACTCCACTGTGTCGTCAGGAACCTAAATTAATTTTTGCAACACTTTCCACGTTTTTTTATGTAAATAATGAGTCTATGTGTTGTTTGTAATTGTTGAATTTCAGAGCTCATTTCGAACAAACCTTCATGGCCGCCATTTGGCGATACGTCGAATAAATGGTGACGTCAGTTTTTATGCTGTTTCGTTATTGGTCAGAAATCTTCCATTTCCACTCATGAAGCCAGGTTGTCAAGTCACCAATTATAATCAAGTTATAATAGGAGGAACCAATGATATTATAGTTCATTCTCAACTTTTTCGAGCAACCAGCATGTCCAAATATTTCTTATCCTCCATAACAAAATATCATGTTAATGTTATAGACTTGGCAAAATTGTGCTGAATGCTGGGAACTGACAAGACCACGCCCACAAGTCGTGCACCGTGTTGTCACGTTCACCTATTCAAATGTCCTCAAGTGTGAATTAATATAATTACTGTTTACACAAATTTATTATAAGCAATAAGCCACAAATCATAAGGGAACATTTTGAGACAATTGAATTTTTATTGCTAATAAGGAATATAACCAATACTCAATTGAGAATTTATGAATTGCTGAATAACTAATATTTCTGAAGTTCCCAGTCGTATTTCAACACATGGCAACTGTGCTATGGTCTGCCCCTACTTACGAAATCGTGGCGTCAGTTTTTACTGGTACATTTTTAGCCGTTTGAAAATTACCGTGGCATCAATGATTATATAATTACCTGAAAATCGAACGGAAAACTCTTAAAAAATATTGAATTAAAAGGTATTTGAGTGATCATTCTATTCAAGGAATCCACTCGCCTATTCACCACTAGCTCTTTCACGATTTTTGTCATCTGTTGCAGGAAACTGTAGACAATATTGAATGATGACTGGAGAGTTGGTGCTTCTAAGTCTCTCGAGATCCATGTTTCCGAAATGCAGACAATATCAACTTTATCATAATCAGCGCAGAACTCTTCGAGATTAGAAAATTCGTGGCAGTCCAAAAAGATCATGTACAACGATGAGTGACATGAAACTATACTTTCAAGATTTCATCAGCGAATTCCAGAACTCAAACTATTTTGCTAACTTTTATATTTACTTTGTTTTCTATCAGCATCTAACAGGGGCGGCGAGTTTTGTTTTGTCCAATGGGTAATATTTTGTGTCTAATCGGGTTTCGAGTTTATGGTTGATATATTAATATGAACAAGGATGAGAAATAGGAGAATTTTTTTTTTCGCCATTGAAAAAAGTGAACATAACTCAAAATTTAAAACGATATTAGAAAATTCAATCTCTACAAAAATAAAATAAGATTTAATAATTCTCATATCTCAAAAAATGGAATAGAGAAACTTCGGGATTCGAAAAAATTAGCAAGTAACCCCAGTTAATTTATTGCAAAGGTATTCCTACTGACTGTATTATCAATGGATTCATTAGCCACTTCTATTTTTTTCCAAACTGGCACTTGTAACCTGTGATGTCATAATGTCTAAAATTTAAATCGGAATATCTGCACAGTGCACAGTGTCAAACCCTGGATACACATGAATCGAATATACGGTTCGCATGGTTGTTTACCTATACTTGTCCAGCAACAATGTGCAATATTTACAAGTGCTCATTTCGCCCGTATCTAATTTGTTTTTTTATACATCTGTTTCGGCCAATGGGTGCATTGCACCCATACCCACTGCCTACATGGGTGCATTGGCCCCGATGCCCCCATGCACTCGCCGCCCCTGGCATCTAATATTCGATTGATTTTTACCACCAAATCATGAAAGTTTTCACATGAAAAATCGAAGTTTGTTAGTATTTTTAACACTGCTTTTACTAATGAAATATTCATTCAGTTTCTTTCCTTGCTCCATAGACTTGTTCCATCAAGTAGTATTACCCCTGAACTGAAGATTCTGTAACACAACGTAGCCCAAATATATTTTCAAGACGATAAAAGAAGAAATGTAGGATATTTTCACTCAGAGTATATGGAATAAAGTTCCGCAAAATAGGACGCTTTATGAATACTCGTGAACTCGTCATATTTTGAATTTAATCGCGTTACATTTTCCAAAAACTTTGCGTGACGTCACGCTTTTGAATTTAATGATCAAAGGTTAGAGGCAGTAATGGAACAGAACAAACGTGACAAGTTCTACCAATCCAGAACATTGATTTATGTCTTTTATTTCATAAAGACGTCAACCCAGCGTAAATCCACTCGATTTTCTTCAACAAGATGTGGTTGGCTCACGCGGAAGTCCAACATAATCGTACAGTTTGTCACCATCTGAGTGAAAATTTTTAATTAGTTCTTTTAGAGATAAAATTCGCATTGCGAGGGATGCTTATAATTTTAGAAAAACCAGAGAAATTATTGCCTCCCGCCACTGAGCGTACGAAAGGGAATCTCTATGATGTTCGAAGATCTTGCTTACCAAGGGAGAATAAAGAGATGAGGTAGGTACTGGATTTTTTTGAACTTTTTGAGATCATAAGTTCTTGGGAATACTTCCTCGGGCAATGAATTCCAGAGCTTTGCCATTCTATAAACAAACGAGTTTTGATGAAGAGCTGTTCCACATAATTTCGAGGTTGAAAACGAAAGGATGCGCGGACTGGGCTTGTCGAGTATCTATAGGTGTTCTACAGTGTTCCAATGATGCCAAAGAGTTAGTAAGTGCGGCATCACCTATCAAGCCGATGGCTCTTCTCTGGATGGAATCTAAGAGCATCAGGGTATGTTTGGGTGCTGAACTCCAGATGTGGGAACAGTGTTCTAGAACAGAGCGTATCTGTGCTTTGTAGATCATGAGAAGCTGTTGAGGTGTAAAGTAGCTTTTTGCGCTGAACACAAATCCGAATTTTTGTGAAGCAGCTTTCGCGATGGATTTGAAATGATGATACCAAGAAAGAGTATTGCTGATGGAAATACCAAGCATAGATATACTTAGTGGATTTGGTGGGAATCGTGGTACCAGACATTGTTATATCAGGCATACTGAGTTCCGCCTTTCTAGAGAAAATACAGGCTTTAGTTTTGGTGACGTTGAATTTGGTTACTCATTTTTCACTGTAAAAGTTCATTTCATTAGGTATTTCGTGGTAGAGAACAACAAAGTGTGTTAGAATCAAATAATAAAATGAGATTCAGATTGTGACAGTATCCTTTGAGAACCTTCTTAAAATAGCCAGTATAACGGTAACAACTTTTCTGGATTATCGAGTTTGTAAGGGCATAAGCGGAAACATAATCAAACCAAAAGGTACTTTTATATTTTTGTTTAAATATAGCGTCTTTTAGTTAGATTTTTGCATGTTGAAATGGTGGCCTGAGCACTAGCAAACACTGAAATGAGATATCATATAACCACTAGTTGCAGTGTGGAATATAATGTGTTCATGTGGCCACCATTGAAAAATTATAATTCAATGGGGTGACATAGCTCAACAAATGATGACCCATGTATTATCGTTTGCTGAGTAACAATAGTGCAAAAAATGTATACACCATGGTTTCAAAGTGACTTTTACCTTTGAGTGGTCCCCAAGAGACACACTCATGTGACTAAATAGGTCATTTCAATCCTTATTCATATAATGAACTATTTCATTCCATAAGTGATCTGTAGATACCTTTGTGTACTTCAACTTACCTGATCAGTCATAGTGATGTCAATGTATTCGGCAAATGCATAACCTTTGCTTAGTCCAAAAGCAGTGTCTTTCACGAGATTGAATGCCCTGAGCCCTCCAAAGGACATGAGTAGTTCCTTAACCTAAATCATTATGGTTGTATTAGTAAAATAATAAATGTACCACAAGTTGATGTCATGTAAGTACCCAGAATCAAAAAAAGTGCGAATCTGCAATGTTCTGTTGATCACCTTCAAGAAAAGTTGGTTACAAAAAAGAAATCATCCTCAATTCGAAAATAGGTTGTGCACAGCGTTTTTTTAAAATCAAAATGACAAATGGCTTTTGCAAGAATGTGCATCAAGCATTTGCTTGAATGTCTTTTTTTTTCTTTGGAAATGATATAGCATCTTCTTGAAATTTTCAGTTCAATTTTTTATCTAATCGAATTCTGTTTCAATAATAGGCAAAAGCTCAGTTATCCCCCAGACTCAATATAATTCCAAAATAATAGCACAAAACAATCCATTTTTTCATTTTTCCAAGAATGTTGTAATGTACATGATGATATAAATATCACTAAACATTTGATTCACATAAAAATGGTGTATGTTCGGTAGGCTGTATCTGTTACTTTTTCTAGAAAAACTCGAAAAAGGCTAAAACTTTTCTATTCCATGGGTTATCAAACGCCGCCTTCAGCCTCGTTTGACAAATTTTCCATATCATATCGTAATATGAGTCTTTACGGTACTCGTATCGTAAATATCTATTACACATTTTCATGATTACGTCGTAACTACCGGCAATATTGTAATGCAACTTAGTATGGATGTGTTTTGGAACACAGTTTTTTGTTTTTATTTGATTAACGATAATTAATTTGACACGTTGAAATTTCGAATCGGAAATTAAGGTAGAGAACCAACCAAGAAATTCAAAAAACGGGAGAGGCAACGAAAGCTATCAGCCGATAGTTTGGTAAAATAGTACATTGTTTCATTAGGATCAAATGTCACACTTTGACAAGCGAGGCGGAGCGACCGCGAAGCCGAGCACGCAAATGTTGCGAGTCAAACAGAGTCACTTTTGATACGAATGAAACGTCATTTATATAGAAATGATTGATATCAAATTAATAAAATAGTAGTGAAAATACCACTATTTTGAGTCACTTGAGCATGTCAGTGTGAAAGCAGCTATCATATCAGCTGTCATCCGACACGTTTTTATTCCTAGAAGTTAAAATTCAACTTAAGCTCCTAGACACTAAAAGTGTTGACTAGCAACATACATACCAATCATTTTATTGTGTCAGTAAGACAAACGTCAACTTCAAGACCTAATCTTGGAAGAAAAATGGAAGACTTTTGAGCCGACTGCAGAACAATATATTCAAGTGAGGGTTGTAGCTGTGTGCACGTGTATATACAAATAATTGTACAAATCTTGTACTTCGTGCAAATAGTTTATTCAAAATATCATAGCAAAGCGCTTCCCGCAATAGCGGATACACAGAAACCATCTGCGAACCGTCCCGAATGCGCGCGCATATATCGATACAGATCTGCAGGTCCCAGGTTCGATTCGCTATGAACTTAATCTTTTTTTAACAACTTTTTTTCACCAATGTATCTTTACTTCATTCTGGTTTAGCTTCCTCAAAAAATATCGAATGACGAATAGGTTAGTGCGTTTAGGATAAACAGTCTCATTTTATTCAATTTTGTTGAAAAACTTGACTTATCATTGATCAATGTGTATTTACTTCATTCTGGTTTTCCCTCCTCAAAAAATATTGCAATTAGGAATATGTTAGTTTGTTAAGGATAAATAGACTCAATCCATTTAATTTTGTTGAATACTATATTTTTATATGACTGAAATTTTCCACTTCATCCTATTTTCTTTTCTCGAAAAGACTCGGATTCAATCACGATTCATTTTGAATGCACCGCCATAGCTAGAATCGTTCTGATTGGTTCATACACTCGGGACGATTTGCAGATAGTTTCTGTGCTTTCGGCTATTAAGCCATCATCAGTGCATACTCGTCAGGTTGACAAGAAATTCTCCATAAAAATATCTTTGGTCTTGTTAGGTAGTGTAAACATTATCGTTAATCACGGAACCAACATAACAAACTTAGTTTCTCAAACTGAGATAATTTGTGGATTACATTTTGTTACATATCTCAAGCAGCCAACATGGCTGGCAACGACAGTATGCATTCAGCCATGTTGACATAATGCATTTTGTGCTGCTTCCTCGATATCACTAACTTCTAGTGTCTTCAAAATTGAGTGACTCAAACTGCTTATACTTCTTCAACAAAAATAGCTATAAATCACTGGATTATTCACTTGAGTGTATTATTTCTGATATATACAGTTCAAGATTATTTTTTCATTCAACAAAATCTGTCTCGAGGAATTCAATGATTCATATAAATGATTCCGAATATATCTGGTTTTTAAGATAACAGGTAATGTGTTATTTTCGGAATATTATCAATTGATCAGTGAAGTTCATGGTTTCAAAGGTTTTTGTATACAAGCGACCGGTCGAAACAGGATTTCAAAGAAACTCACTTTCTGATGCAGATGATTGAATATAAATATATGTTTACTTGATTCTGGGTAGGTACATGAAAATATGTAATGTTAAGCAACTTACGTATTTTGGCTGTGTGGTAATAACATGGCGCTAGGTATCAATTTTTTAGCATCAAAATCTACGAATTTAGTTTGAGCAAAAGAACATTGACCACAGCAGAACCTGATGGCCATTTAATATTCTCAATTTCCATGATAGGAATCACTATACATTTTGATAACTTTTGCTAGGTGTGGCAATCAATTCAAAGATCAATTCAAGAAACATTTGATTGGATTGCCTGATCCCAATTAACATTTTAAATAATCTTTGTGTGTAGTATGTTAACCAAGTATATTATGATCCATGGCTTGTTTAACCAGAAAACTGATTTGAACTTTTCTGTTACCTATAGCCCAAAATTTACAGCCTCCAAGTCAGTCAGAATTAGGAAAAATTGAATATTGGTTTTTGTGCCATAACATTTTGATGACTTGCCTTGTTTTTCCACAGGGTGTTCAGGTTTATTTTGCAGATACACTCATAGGGATCGAGATGTTAACCCTAGCTATAGGGCAGAAAAGCAGAATATATGAGAAGATTTAAAAACAGATTTTCATTAAAAAAATTAAATTTTATGGAATTGATAATCACATCAGTGAAACAAGGAATAAGTATATGTATTAATATTGACAGATGATGCCCAAATCTGAAAGTCAATACATAATACTTGGAGTGTTTTCTTTGAATAGGTATTTATCTTCACCTGAAATTTTTGCTGAAAAACCTGAAAATTCAGGATTCTTTCAACTAATACCATGACATACATGCACACTTGGTGTACTTCTTATTGAATGTCATAGTATCAGATGAATAGATCCCTTAATTCTAGAAATCCTTTTCCCTGAAACAAGCTGAAATAGAAACACTGAAAGAGAAAACCTGAAATGCTGAAATTTCACAAGGTGTGATTTTTGAATGCAATCAGAATAATCAACAGTTCTGTTTATACTATTTAGAGAGAATATTCTGATCAATCCATCCAAAAGTAGGTATACACCTTGTACCAATCCTGAAAATCTGTGGCTGAAATGCTAAAAATATTTCTGCTGTACTGCATAACCCTGTATACCTGTAAAGGCTGTAAAAAAAATCGACCCTGCATATCTGCTTTTTCTACTCTGACTGCTGATTGGTGCCCATAATATTTCAGTTTTTGATGCTAAATGCTAAAGAGGAAAAGACATTCATTCTAATATGTCCATTCTCACAAGTTCAATAATTCTGAATGTTTAGTGTTTTGCCCATTTGAAATATTTTTTGAGTTTTGATAGTTTGCTGAAAGTTTTGATATCCAAGAACTGAGGTGAAAAATTGAAAATGGAATGCTGAATAAAATTGCAAAGAAAGGTATTCATAAAAAGTAACTCTCAGTTGATCCAGAATGTCTCACTCATACAATAATGAATTGTCTCATTTACCTGATCTTCATTTAGGTAATTTGGAAGACCTCCAATGAATATTTTGTGTGGAGAATCTGGTACCACAGTACTAATTACACCAGCTGGTACAGCAATGGAGCTTTCAGACATACCAGGCATAGGTTGATAATCATGAGGTCTACGAATTTTCAAACTCTGACCTGTAAAAATAAGAAATTTATCAGTAATTTTCTCTAGATTCTTTTCTTTTGGAAAAATAAAACAAATTCCTCCAATGAATAGCACCCTCAAGTGCCCCCACAAAACCCAAATATCATCAACTCTTTTCAATTTTCAACAATTCCTCTTTTAACTCATGTATAACCAGATAACTCCATACCTTTGAAATTTATACCATCAAAAGCCATAGCCTGAGTAGTTTCATCTATGGACCTAAATTCCAAAAATGCAAAATTCTTGTCCAGATTTATTTGACAAGCAAGAACTGGATTTCCAGCAGCTTGAGCCAAACCACTCAAATGCATTTGTTGATTGAAATATTCCATCATTTCTTCTTCAGTGACACCAAATGGAATGTTACCAACATACAATCTTCTGGCTTGCCTGGTGATAGTTGAACCTACCACAGGCACTGCAGCTTGAGGGGTATCAGCAACTATATTAGCAGGAATTTGACCAGCAGCTTGCATAGCTTTATACTGAAGTGGTGTAATGTGTTCAAAGCCTGGAGGTGGGACATCCCAATAGAGAGAAGGCTTACGACGTCTCGAGTATGCACTACTTTTGTTGTGTCTAGGGGATCCTGAGCGACTTCTTCTTCTACGGTCAGGCCGGTCAGCGCGTTCCCTACTTCTTGAGCGAGATCTGCGTCTGTGTTCACGGGAACGGGATCGTTTACGTCTGTCTTTTTCACCATGTTGTTCTCTACTGCGGTCCCTTTCTTTGACGTCTGAAATTAAATCAAATCATGATCGTGTTCTGGGTAACAAACTTGAAATATGCACCTTTTTCTTCGCCCATTGCTTTGTTATAACTACCTACTGGAATAATCAAACAAGCAATTCAGAACCTGAACCGATAGATTATTTTGATAATGATACAACTCTACGGCGAACGAAAATTATTTTGAATTCAAAAAGTAGTCGGTCTCTCAACAACACTACAACAAAATTGGTGATAAAATTTGTAGCTACTTTTCAAGTTAGCTTTGCAAAGAAAAATGCTTCTTTCAAGTTTCAATTCAACTTCAACTTTCAACTTCAAACTTCAATTTTCTTCTTGCTTCTTGCCAGTGTTGCCATGTGCTGAACATGAAATGTCGCGAAAAGTTACGAAAAAAACCGCTAGAAGTCGCTAGCGAGCGAAAATGAAATTATCATCCGCTCTACCAACCTTGGAGGCGGGCAAGAAGCCGACTTTTTGCCGTGATGTGGCGCCATTTTTTATCATCTCTCCTCATTTCCAGACAGGTTTTAATATCTGATAAAAAATCGTGGAGACCTTTTCTATTCGGAATAAAAAATAAAGTAACATAAAAAAATGTGTGTCCGACGGACAGTCTAGATATTTAGCCGTCATTGCCATAGTGCTCAAAGTGGAATAGTGGTAATATATGGAGATGACTTGGACAATTTCTCTCTCTTTATGAAAAAATATTATACATTTTCCTATAAGATTTCATTCGGTGTAAGGGCGCCGTACATTATGCTATTTCTTGGCGAGTTTGAGGCAATGCAATTTTCTCGCAATTTTCTCGCAATTTTCTCAATTTATTGCAAGTCGCCGTACATTGAGATATTTCTGTCATATTTGCTTGTTCATATTCACTATTTTCAGGTTTTTTGAGCCTTAATGTACTTTTTGGTGTTTCAGGCCAAGTTATGGAGAAAATTTGTATTTTATCAAGATGCTACGATGAATATTACTAAGAATTTTACTAAACTTGCCTTGAAATTCCAGGAAGAATAGGACTGGTTCTATTACGAAACTTGCATGGAACTTGCCGTGAAATATCATAGACGCATGCGCATTGTTGGATTCAAAATTGCATTGCATCGAACTTGCTGGTAAATAGCATAATGTACGGCGCCCTTAAGGGTCCCTTGATAAAAAGTCATCTTGAATTTAACTGGGTACGGAATGGGTACGGACAGATCAAAGCTACATTATTTTTTAATGATCTAGACTATCTAGAGACTAGAGGCTTTCGTTTTGTCTACTGGCGTCCCTGACATTACTGGCACGTCACGTCCATGGGCGCTACAGAAAATCATTCAAAATTTTATTGATAATTGGTTTGTACAGGGTATTTACTTGTTGAGGTAGATCTGAGATGTTTATAAGTATGGTGGAGCGACTCTTCAACTGTTTTTGTAACAAAAGTGTACAACGATTCAGAACGAGAATAAGACTTCTCACCTTTCATTGAGAGATGGCGCCACGATCGTAATCAATAAATAAAAATTCTGAATTCTGCCATTCCGTTGAAAACACAAATTTACCCCCACAGAACTTAAACACGGTGTTTCAGTTCCGTGAATTATCCACGATCTGTGATCGTGAAATTCCTCAGCGTCAGCTGGTCAACCAGGTCAGCTCAGAGTCAGACACAGACCACCCTGGGTGGAGTGGGTGGTCTGTGGAGTCAGAGCTCACTGCTCAGTGCTGAGTGCTCACTGGATCTTCGAATGAAATGTGAAGATGTCAATATTTTTATTATTTCATTTGAACTTTTACATTATTTCCATCCCAAAGCACAGTTGGAAAGATATGATTATTTTAATTGTGCCAAAGTGTGGTTCAATGTTTTTCAAGTAGGTATCAGTTTCATCAGTGTTTTGTTGTTCGGATAGAATTCAGGATTTGGCAGTATTTTTTAGAGTTTGTGGATAAAACGTTCCCGTTCTCTCTGTGGGGTATGTCCCAAAGAAATTCTCTCATAATATAATCAATTCATGTATTCAGGCATCTTTCAGCTGCAACGTTCCACTCGCGCGTCGTTGGGTGCTAGTTGTGAGATGTGTGCCTGCGCTTTAGAGTTCCCCCACCTATATTCCGAATTCAACTGACAGTATTGAATCTGTTGATTTTTCATTCCGAAATAAAAAAAAACAATGAAAGTGACAGATACTTGTGAGCAGAAATACAATTCATTCCAAATATTTCGACTCAACATTCTGATGGAATTGCTGACTATCAAATGGTGTTCCGAATTGCAGCACTGTGTTTTTGATTCCATATTTCGGAACACAGATTTTCAGTAGAGTCAGTGGATTTATTACTAACAGTACTGACCAGTTGATATGTGTCACGCTGTCATATTGAATTAACGGCAGTGACAGTGACAGTGAGTAGTTACCCCTGTCCCCTGTGCCTCTGATGATTAGGGATTTGCTTATTTGACGAATATAGATTGACCAAAAATACCTACTCTCAACTTGTCACTTGAGATTGGACGAGTCAGTCAATCAATCCTTAGTCCTGATTCTTATAGTCAACGTTGCTTCACTCTCAATGGTCACCATAATTTGCGTCGTTGATTTTGATGTTATTTGGGCTGTATTCCGAATTCAACTGGTCAGTACTGTCAGTAGATCCACTGACTCTACTGAAAATTTGCGTTCCGAAATATAAAATCAAAAATTCAGCACTGTAATTCGGAACAAGTTTTCATCAGTAATCAGCAGCAGTTGATCAGCTGATGAAATTTGTCAGTTGTCCTATTTTGTCAAGTCAGTCAAGTTGTAGTTTCTCGTTTATCTGGTCAATTATTTGAATAACATGCAATCTCTGATATTAAAAATGATACTATTTATTCATTATTGATAAGACAAGAATTAATGTTTGAAAAACAAAGGAAATTAATGTGACATGCCTTCCTCCTCTGAAATAATGACAGTTCACTGAAACCACACTACCTTTTGATAGTCAGCAATTTCAGCAGAATGTTGAGTCGAAATATTCGGAATGAATAGTATGTCTGCTCGCAAATATTCAGTAAATTATTTTGATTTCGGAATGAAAAATCAGCAGATTCAGTACTGTCAGTTGAATTCGGAATATAGCCTTGTGATCTTATGAAGTGTGTCAATTGGCAAGGTGACTACAGTGACGATTCCGATACGGCACCTGGTGGGCAAATTTGAACCAGTTTAGGACGTAATTCAAGGTCATGTTTGTTATTGTGTTCAGTGTCAGTGGTTTCATATTTTAAATTTTATGAATACCATTCAACAAATTACGTTAATTTTCTCTTCTTGCGTCTCTTGAGTACAAGACAATTGCCTAATCAATTCTATATTATTTTATAAATTAGTATCAACAAATCTCTGAAAATACGCGAAATCAACTATGTTTGGTTGCTGGTTGAACTAGTAGAAGGTTCCAATGGATGTAGGACCTATAATATGTCCTCTAATATGAATTTCCTGCACTCAAGAAGTCTTTTCCAATATGAGTTTGAAAACTGGATGTATGCAGCTCCAACAAAAACTTCTTACCTTTCTTCAATTCATTGGTCCAATAATGATAACAATAAGGTAAATTTGTGATTCATTGATTTATTTATTGCTGATGAATAACTCTTATTTGCAGTGCCTATCTGAGAGAGAACATGATTGAAATGATCAACAGTTCATACCTATTTTGTTTATGGGGAAATGTCTCCAGGACTTGGAAAAATAAGTATGGTTGTTTTTCTTTCAAATATTTAAAAAAAAAATAGAGAAGCAAATTCAATGCCTTTGACTTTTGAACTGCAATACACAAAGCTGGGCAAGAAACCAGACATTATGAACATGTGCAGGTGGGTAATTTATGGTTTTGTTTGTAATGCTTGACTCATATAAAAATCTTGTTCATGACATCCTGCCTAGGCCTCCATAGATTCCTATTTTGTAGTATCATCTTTGTAGTAAAATAGCCTCGAAAATAGCCAATGCAGATTGCATATACTTCCAAAATGATTAAGTTAAAATACAGCTCCCAATTACATTCATATGAGCAAAAACAGTAGCATATTTTATAGATATATAATAATCCTGGTACAAGCAGGTCATTGTAGGTAGCTTACTTCATAGCTTGAATTGCTGGAATTGAATCTTTGAACATACATTGAAGTGACACAATCTAATAGATATGGTTTGTTTATAGTAGGTACTAACATTTCTTAAATTTTTCAGCAGGGGGGAGTTGCCATCCAATCCAGGGTATCTTACAATTGAGTGCAAATAGTTACACAAATTGAAACCAAAACCTAGATTCCTTGAAGTTGAATTCAAGTTTTTAAGGAGATATCACTGATTATTTGGGTACTAGAACATATCCATGACATTTCAAATTGTATCTTGGAAAGATGTATCCATAATTTTACTGCTTGTATGTTATTATTAAACTGTATTTATTCATAAGTAAAAGTTTTACTTTTTTTTCTGTTTTGTAATGTTTTATTGTAGGTTTTCAAAATTCATATTTCAATTCCACAACTACCTCAATCAACACCCCATTCTTTTTTGATGCAATTTCAAAGTTTCACTTTATAATCTTTACTGATTCCTTTTAAAATAGGTACCTACCAGATAAATACTTACTTTTGCTCATTGTTAATTCATTTATACATATATGAAAGTCCTGGATTTCAAAATCATTCATAATTGTAAATTTTCATGAAGGTATCTTGTAAAATAATTCAGGGAAAAACAGTATACATGAGCACTGAGGGAAGGAGTATACTGGAGATCCATCTATTTGTAGGTACTTCTTAGTGTGGCATAAGTACAGAAAAACACATGTTATGTCAATGTACTTTAATTTTCGAAAATTATTATTGATTCAGTTCCAAAATATACCAAACATAATGAACTATACAAATTGATAAGATAGATATTTTCAATTAGATGAATTTAGGATTACAAAATGATATCAAATCACAAAATTTATGATGATATACTGTGTAAATACATTAACTGAAATCCTAGGTCATTTGATCAATGTTTTATGTGGTGGAATTCCAAATTATTCAATGATTTCATCAATATGGTAACAGAAACTAGCTTTACAAGGTATTAAATGAATTCCAAGAAGAAAACTCAGTCTAGGATGCCACCTACCTCAACTCTAAGTATATTAGGAATATTCACATTATGAAAAGTGTGTTATATGAATACAATTCACACACATGGTGCATAGGATCATGACAATTTGCTGTTACTGCAGTGGAGCACCATAATATATGAGGTATGGGAGTTGCACTGTAAACAATCCTCAAAGCCTGGAAGTCATATTGTTGAAGATAGGCCATTGATGGTTGTATCTACTATCAAATCCACAGTAATGTCAGGATGCCTTTGGTGTTAAATTATTTCTTGGTTTAGACTCATTAGAGCTGGTTGCTGCTGATTTCTATTGTATGGATCAATTGCACATGATTCTGATGGCTATAATATTTAGCACAAAATAGTCCAATAGGTTAACACATTGTTTAGGGATGGTTTTCAATATGTTCACAGAAGGCTTTTCACTGTTGAAAAACTCCACTCCTGGTATCACCATTTGTGGTCTGAAGGATCCTTTTGCTTGAAGATTGGAGTTATAGAGGTATGATGGTGAATATATCAGCTTCTGATGATAGTGGATATGCTTGTGATTCTTGATATCCCATAAAGCTGTCCCACAGAAATGCACTGGTTTGAAGAAAGCTCAGACTATTTGGTCCACGATTCAGTCAGTAGGTAACAGTTATTTTCCTCACATCACGATGAAACATTATGATCCAACAACAAATATTATGATTTCAGTAAAAGTTCAACAATAAACACAAATAACACGATGAAATATCAAGAAGAAAATGTATGCAAATCTCAAGAAATTTTGTAAACAAACAACACACTCTTTGCCGCCATCTTGTTTTGAAACAGCGCCCCCAACGGTCGATCACCTTGCCAATGGTCAATGAGTCAATGTTGATTCAGTCAATTGTCAAATGTCAATTGTTGAATTGAAGATTGAAGACGGAATAATCAAAGAATAGTAGGTTGATTCGTATGAGCTGAACAAGAAAATGAAAATAATTACATAGATATTACTCAATTTTGACACATTTTAATAACAATACCATTAAATTAAATGGATATCAATCTGATCAAACAAGAACCAGTAGAATTGGATTATGAAGACTTACCTGATATAGTAGATATTGAAAATCTTCCAGAAGAGAAAGATGCTGGTATTGCCACCGAACATAAACAGAGACGTATTGCTAATGAAAGTCCCAATGGAAAATTGGAAAAACCATCAAATCATTCTCCTCTAGAAATTACTTGCACAATATGCCATGAAAAATGTAGATTTGAATTATTCAAAATTCATGGAATGCTCCATCAAAAAAGTAATTTCTGTTTTGTTTGCAAGAGGGCAATTAGTAAAGATTTCACTGGTCACCTGAAAAGACTCCATCTAGAAAATGAGTGTTCTGTTTGTAATAAAGTGTTCCAATCACATAAGACACTGAAAAGGCATAAGAGCCTTCATATTAATCAAGATTTCCCATGTGATCATTGTGATAAATCTTTCAGATCAGAAGGAAGCTTGAAAGTCCATGTCCAGTACACCCATTTAGGAGTCAAGTCATTTGTCTGTGAGGTGAGGTATTGAGTCAATTGATCATTCTAGAACATGTGATTTTGACATGGTTTCTTGAGGGGCACACAAACTATCTGTTAGTTTACCTTTGATGAGCATTGCTCTGGCTGTCCCTGCCACATCCACAATATAATAACAGTTCCACCAAACAAAATTATGAAATTCTTTCTGGTTCTAACTCTGATTAGAAGGAAAACAATCCCACTAATTCTGGTTTTATATGACAAATCTTGACAAAATACAATGTTTGCTCCTCAGCAACCTGTCAAATGACGTAATTCTGGAATGATTAATAGTTGAGATTTCAAATTATTGAATGTTTCAACTATATGTTTTCTTCAACCCCTTCCTTTTTTTCCTGGTGTCCTTTGCACTATTTTTGAAAATTCAATTATTTTTTTAGATATGCCAGAGTCCCTTCATCAATTCTTCTAGCTTGAAGAGGCATCTTAAAAGAATACATTCAACTGAAAGGAAACATGAAGTTTATGAATGCACCATATGCTTTGAAACTCTACCTAATATTAGGTCAAAGCAATTACATGAGCTGGCACATGTATCTAAAAAAGCATGTGATGAATGTGGAAAAACATTTTCATCTCATGAAGTTACACGCAACCATTTGAAAAGCAGGCATTACAACACAGAAAAATGTCCTCACTGCAGTAGAATACTTCACAAGACTTTGCTGGAGTCTCATATAAAGAATTTGCATCAACCAAACCCAGGACAAAAAAATGAAGACAAATTTGTGTGTTCCATTTGTTGCAAAGAGTTATCTTCAGCAGATAGTCTTAGAAAACATAGATATCAACATGAAATCAATAGGCAGGTTTATAGTTGCAGTCAGTGTTATAAAACATATACTAGAAAATTTACTTTGAGAGCCCATATTATGAGAGTCCATTTGGGATTGGTAATAAATGCAGAGACAGTTGCCAAGAGAAATAGAAAGGCAAATATAGAGATGAATGTCTTTGTATGTGAGGTAAGTTGGTAGTAATGCCCATATTGATGTAATCAAGGACAATAATTTATTTGTCTATGTTATGCACTATATAATCTGACAACTAAACTTTAAAATTAGAAATTGAAATTACAATTAATCAGTACCTTTTCATGAAAAACACAAGTATAAAATTTAAACAATTTCAAATAGTGTATTTTTCCATTTATAGAACTGACCAGCCTGCATCAAAAACCTCATTTATTGATTAAAATTCTTGGCTTAAAAGAGGCTGCTTTACCAAAAATTTCAATTCTTTTATTGGGTGGTTTTTCCATATGATGGTATTGAACAAGTTATTGAAAATCAAGGGAAAATTCCACTAACTAGTGCAAGAAGCTGAATTGAATTCATGCATACCACACCTGTGGAGCAGCAAATTCATAACTTGTTTTTCAAATAAAATTTCTCTGCTCTGCTGGGGATCAAACCTCAACCTTGTGATGTTTTAAGGTTAAGGAATCAATAATTTTGAACTCACCAATTGTTTTGGGCCTATCACTTACTGATAATCCACAGTTATTCACATAATATGTTGATTATCTGTCACCTATAGGAGAAAATGATCATGTTGTTCTGGGCACATTGATTCAAATCATTACAGAATCAATCAAAATAAATTAAAAGTAGAAAAAAAGTAATAAAAAGCTTTTATTTAAACTATCTAAATCGAAAAAAAAATGTTCAACTTATATTTCAAAATTTGAACTATCATCTTGAATGATTTTCGATGAAGTTTTTTTCCGCTACACCAGAATATACAGGGTGCTCGGAACAAACGATCTACAGGGTACTATTTGATTTTTTTATTATAGAACACCCTATTTTTCTTTGTGTTTTTAGATTCTCCCTGAAGAGCTGATTTGATCATTCTATCACACTTGGCATCTAGCGGGGATGATTACAGAGATATAGGGTGTTCAAAATCAAGATTTTTTTTGTGACGAAACTATTAATTATTGGTCAAAACGACTTTCATGTCCGTATCTTAACATTTGATTCACTATCTACTGACATTTAATGATTGGAACAGATACAAAGAAGCCGTTTTGACCGATAATGAATAGTTTCTACAAAAAAAAAAACAGAAAGTTGAAAAATCTCGATTTTGAACACCCAATATCTCTGTAATCATTCCCGCTAGACCCCAAGTGTGATGCATTGATGAAATCAGCTCTTCAGGAAGAATCTAAAAATACAATGAAATACAGGGTGTTCCATTTGAAAAAATCAAGTAGTACTCTGTAGATCATTTGTTCCGAGCACCCTGTATTTTCTGATGCAACGGGATACAAATTTCTGAAAAATCATTTTAGATTATTTCACAAATTTTCAAATCGGTTCAAAAATAAGTGAGCTAGAGGGGGGGACATTTATGGTGAATCACCCTGTACATATTAGTGAGATGTCGTCTGCATATCCTATAATTTTTACATCCCCTGATACACATTTGGTGATGGAACTTGAATATATGTTGAAAAGTAGAGGAGATCCATCCTCCATCCTTTCCCTTTATATATAATTTTCTGGTACTAATATATTGTTCCATGAGGTTTATCATTTTCTGTGGTATTTTACTTTTATGCATTGCCTATATTAACTTCTGTATATTTACCCTATCATATGCTGCTTTTAAATCTATGAAAACTACCACCGCTTTTTGGTTTGTGCTAAAAGCCTGGTAGATTTCTGATGCTATAAGAACTGTATTGTCATTTACACTTTTTCCTTTTCTAAAACCTGTTCTTGTGGGATTTTGCTTTTATGTTCAAGTTCCCATTCTATTCCATTTTTCATTATTGTTTCTAGTGTTTTCCCTAGAACTGGTTGCAGTATAAGTGGCCGATATATGCTAAGGTTTATTGGGTCTTTCCCTGGTTTTAATAATGTAATCACTATTTATTGTTTCCATTCATCGGGGATTTTTTCTCCCTCTAAGTGGGAATTGTAAATTTTCAAAATTTCTGTTTTCATTTTTTTTGGTAAGTTTTTCATGCAACTGCATGCAACCAGGGAGACACGTGTGATAGTGGTTGTAGATGTGTCCAGTCCATTGCTTACTAACCTTTGTTTCACGTTTATTGTCATGCTTAGCGCAGAATAAACCAATTGTTCTCAAAGATGTATGCTTCATTTTTACACTTCTTGGATATTCACAAGTACCAAAACATTCTCTTTGATTTCACTTTCGTCTACATTTCGCATATATTTTCAATGAAGAATTCTGATACAAACGGAAATTGTTTGAATAATTCTGATACAAAATTCGAAAATGACAGTCGACAGTTTCTACAATTGACAGGCCAGACATGTCTCAAATTACTGAAGCTGTGTTTAATGAACTGTGTTGCATTGGCAATGTGTTTGAGAAATCGTGTTGCCATGGTACCGTGTTTAATATTTTGAATAAATCACAAGTCGTCAATCCGTGATTAATCGATCATTTAGCGTGGTACATATCCGTACGCTAAATGCCATTTTAATTATGTGAGTAGAAACATAATTTTATGACATGTTACTTCTTATCAATTACCGGAGACATATATGAAAGACCAGCCTTATTTCCCTTGGTTCTCTGAACATTACAGGATGTCCCTTTTCGTGGGAACCAGAACATAAAAAAAAAACTAATGTCAGCATGAGATATCGACAGGAATCTCGGATCGAATCTCTGTGGAACTGACTTTTACCGTAGACGCGGATTTACATGGAAAGGAATAAGTGTGACTGACCAATTTGGAAAAGATCATGTGGTACTTCACATTTAATCACATACACCAATCACTGTATAAACACCACAAACCTTTATTCAATACGTAATCATCATTAATTATAAAATATTAGAATGAAGAAACTTACCGTAAATATTAGTCACTTTCACTCATTGTTATATCAAAAATTGTGTAGACAAAAGTTTTATTCAATGGAACTTCAACGCCCTGTATTTGAGTTATGTTTAAGTTTTGGAGGTACTTTATTGAGAAAAGTCCCCCTATAAATATACAAAAATCAGGAACAAAAACGATTAGAGAAATTATATTTATTTTGGTGATACATTGACAGTTAGCGCTAAATTCAATGCATTCTTTTAGTTGAAGAAAAAAATATCCAATGATTCTTCCAGTTTTATTGTTCTTGCATCATCTGAGTTATTGATGATAGTGAGTCTGCTGGTTATGGATTCTTACCTGATAGGCTAGATAACCCTTGCTAGGACACGATAAATATTGTTTCATTAATTGACAGTCTCATGCCATATGTCAATCCAAAGAAACACATTCCTTGAGAACATGAGATTGAAAGGCATTATTGATTGTAAACAGCAGCAAGCTACGGTGTGAAAGCTGTCAGCTCAATAATTGCTGAATGATAAAATAATAAGACATTTTCTTTTAATATTCACAATTTCGATTTATAGAGGCATATATTTTTTATGTGTATTTTTTTTTCCTTAAAATGATTCTCAATAAGTGCCCGTAATCGTGATTCCTGTATTTTTTATTTCAGATATGCGAAATCTCTTTTCCACACGCTTATCTGGTTGAAAAGCACAAGAAAAATGTGCATCCTGATCCACCAACGAAGGATGGAAATTATGAGTGCAACATATGTTTTGAGTCTCTCCCTGACGCTCAAGAAAAAATATTACACGAGCTAGCACATGTTTCGTCGATGACATGTGCCATATGCAGTGAAACTTTCACCACAGTCGATGCTATACGCAAGCATTTGAAGAGTGAACACTACAACACAGAGAAATGCTCCCATTGTGATGAAATTCTCCACAAGACAATGCTTGATTCGCACAATTGGCGAGAGCACGGATTTGTAGAGTGCAAGATTTGTCATTTAACTTTCAAACACCATGGACTGTTGGCTCGACACAAATGGGTACATGAAGATTTAGAGCAATGTGAGCTCTGTGGATGTACTCTGAACATTCTAAATAAAGAAAGGCATATGAAGTTGCATCTTCAAGGGCGAGTCCACCGCTGTAACATATGCAGGGCAATAGTTTCGAATCTTGAAAAACATATTGTCAGAGTCCATAGGAACACAGAGTATTCTTTTTGTTCTCGTTGTCCGGAGAAATTTCTCAATTATGCTGATAGATTTTTACACTACCGTAAAGCACATTCGGCAAATACCAGGAGGACTTGTATATTTTGCAAGCTGAAATTCAAGACTTTGGATGAATTGAAAAAGCACCAAGCTGCTGAACATAAATTACCAAAAGGCAGGCACAAGAAATCCATGAAATTGAAATTTTCCCACCTCGGTTCCACCTACAAATACAAGTGTGATCACTGCGGAATCAAGTTCAGAGTGGAAAATACTCTGCGAAAACACAAGTGCCATTCTGGACAGTATTACTGCCATTTGTGTGATGTTAGGTATGCCAACAAGGCATATGTGAAACACCACATGATTACCTATCATTCTCCAAGGATAAATCGAGATGAAAAATCGGAGGAGAAGTTGGAAAAGGACAGGCTGAGGCAAATCAGTGTAATGAGAAAAAAATCTATTAGTCTCAGAAAAGCATCTGCAAGTAAATCACCTTCAAAAAGATTACATTGTCAGGAATGTGGATTTTCCAGCTTTGGCAAGCGCGAAATGAGGGTCCATGTTATTAGGAAACATATAATGGTCAAAGATTCTGTAGAAGAGGGTAGTGATAAGGTTGATGTTAAATTAGAAACGGGGGCAGCTATTTATTTAAAAACTGAGGTGAAAGATGAGGTCCTTGATGACTAGAAGCAATCATTAAAATAAATCCACCCACTAGTGAATAGCTTTTAATTGTTCCATTTATTTCCTTCTCCTTTTTTTTTCTTGGTTTTCCTACTAGCTATGATCCTTGTGTGCAGGTATATAATACTACAGATGAAATAGGGCTAGTAGGGATATTGGTTAACGATTTTTACAAAAAAACTCCGAAGGCTGTTGAAATCAAAAGTTGAATATTCATCAGGTTTGTGCTATCTTGAGGTACGCCACATGATACATCGAAGGCCTGTGGTACTTCATCATTCAAAATTACGTTTCGACTTCGGTCAGTCAAATCTGAACTCATTAACCCACATGCAGACTCACTGAATCCAAGAAACTGCAATTTAGATAATAATTCATGGTTAATCGAATCAATATTTAGAGCTATGATTATATCATCAGTGATATATTCAAGTGCAGTTTCACAACTGAAACCGGCACTGAAACCAGATTGTTTATTGGGTATCGTTTTGTTCCGATCTAAATAAGGACGAATTTGACTATCCATAATTTTTTCAAGAACTTTGGATACATGTGTGGGCACATTTTGCATATGGAAAGAGACCCTTGCATAAAAAACTTTCGTCAATTCGACCATGTTGGAATACTGCACTGCTCATACCAGTGACAACCAAAGACCCAGCAGCACCTGAAGCGATACTGAACAGCATTTTTGGCCGATGTTCAACTGGATGTGAAGGACGATGTGGGTGCTAAAGAGCTGAATTTCCATGCTCTAATCTATGGTGCCATGGTATGTGTATATGAACACAACATTGCCGGACATGGGAAATGATGTCGAAGATGATGATTAATTGTTAATTATTCAAACATATACATTCAATATGTTTGTTTTTGATAAATGATCAATTTTTTTCTGTTACTTGTGATGTTAAACACCTATTTCATACAATTAAACTCTATTTTTGATACTTCTCGATTTTTTTCATCCCCTGTGTCTCAGAAAATATCTATTGTAGACGAAAACTGAATGGGACTTTTTCGATAGGAAATTTATTCATGCTGTTTAATTTTTTATATCCATATTTTTTCGCAAGATACCGCGGTTTTCGGATTAAGCAAGAATAACAATTAATGGGCTTATATCACAAAAAAATTTCATTTCATAATTCGATAGAACTCACCCAAACTATATATAGTTCACCATCGCAAACCGTTTCTTGCTGTGAGCTCCCTACGTTTTATAAAAAATTATTGAAATCCTCGATTTTTCGGACCTCTGAAAACGAGGCGATGATGTGACGTCAAAACCCTAATACTGAAAACAAGACTATTCCAGACAGAGATGAATGATACATGGTTTAGTGAATTAGCGCGAGATCACAGTTGAAAGAATTAATGTAGGTATCAGTTGCCTCAGTCTCCGTCGGGCTTTTGGTATTTTCTTTTAACTATGGCGAGATGAGGTTTCTACGTCATAAGTGGTTCCTTTTTTAGAAGGTACTATTATTTATGTCCAAAAATAAAACGTTCCAGTTAATTTTTCGATCGAATTATGTCGTCAATCATTATATTTATGTATAAAAGGATCATTATAAACATGGTTTGAGTTAAAAGTTCTACTAACGTGTACACGCCCATTATTCAACGTTACTTTCAAATGCCTCCCTACCGCCCCGCTCATTCCCTACGGGTCTGTCCTTTTAGTATGTTGTTCATGGTACTTTATTTTACGTGAGTTTGCGACTACACAATTGATTCCCCCTATTCGACCTTTTTTGGCGTTCGTTGATTGAACTATAATGGTATTTTCAATATCAAATTATTTATTTGTTTTCGGTAGGTATGCACTGATCTGCTAGCTCAGTAAGTCGTGGGTTTATGATTGTGCGTAATACACAGCTCAATCAAGCGAAACTATTCCAAATCGATGATACTTCGCAAAACGCATACACAAACTGGTTACAATAAATAATATCCAACAAGGATTCAATTACCGGTTTACATGTCGAAGGACTACCCTCACGAGCGTCTCCCTACACAACCATCTTGGCACATCCAAGGTCAAATATTTTACTACATGAAGCTGAATATATTGGCGCCAATTTTTGAAATGAACTTCATTATACTTATCTCGTCAATATTTTGGTACGAGACAAAAAAATGACTCTTTATAATAATGGTAGCAATAAGGAAAAGTGGATTTACTCACAAAGAAAATCAATTAGACATAAGACTATCGATTCAAGTATAAATAAGAAATGTAATAAGTTCCAGACATATTAATGTTCAATACATCAATAAACTATCGATATCTAGAACAATATCTGTTATGAATAGGTGAATGTATGTGTTTTTGCTCAAGAAAATTTGTTTTTTTGGATATTAAAGCATGTTATTTGGTTCTTTTCTTCTTAGTAGAAAATAGACGCACTTGCTTGCCTGTTTTTTTATTAGTATTAATGATTTGCTTTTTCTAGATGTCGCCGACTTCGTGGATCTCGCGAATATATGGCGCATCGCCTATTGGCGACTGAGATTTAGCGCCAGAACGGCGAACGTCGGTACTACTCTATATGGGCCATTGGGGGATTGTTTACATTGTTTGGTAATGGTGTTTATGTTCATTTCGTTTTGAGTTTTCAAACGTTCAGCTTTGTTATTTGTCAATTTTCGAACTTTGTATTTTCCAGCGGTCTATTGTGTTTTGATTGAGGACTATATTATCTCTGTTCAACATTAGATAACCTCCCTACCTCTAGTTGAACTTCATATATACCAACATACATAAGCTGTAAGTTTTTATCGTTATTGAACAAGAATATTCTCATGAAAACCTGCGTGGGATGTTGATTTCCAATTCGAATATATGGCTGGGATATTCCCCTGATAACATGATATTCAAAAAAAATCCAGCATACTTTTTGTGAATAAAATGTTCTTCCGAAGGTGAAAATTGCCGCAGATTTTTCGAATTCAGAGTTGAATAATCCCACAGTTACATATTTACCGCGTACCTTAAATGCCATTTGCCATTTTATTTCCACTCGTCACAGTAGCAATAGAAGCATCACCATCAATAGGAAAAATGTAGAATCAACGTCTCGCTCGATGTGACGTAGAGAAATCATAGAAGGCGGTCGGGTGATTTTTCTTAGGTCTTCAATACGTGAAAATGGCCGACTACGCGCACCATCTACTTAGTACCATCAATTTTCAAGGATGTACGAATTGTATTTTCAATATAAATTCAACCACAGAGTGACATATTTCTGTATGGACCAGGGGTGCTCTAATAGCAAATACCGCGCCGGTGTCAGGTATAGGAAAAAGATGTGGAAAATATGTTAGGTTAGTGAGCATATCAACAATAATAATGGCGATTATTTATTTTTCTCCATACTCCACTGTGTTTGGCTCGATGATCAAATGAAAGGTAAACAATATCGTTGTTTGAGACAAAAAACTATTGCTGGCCGTGATTATTCGGAAACAAAGATATCCATCCCGAGAATAACGAATGGAATATAGATCAAGCAAGTATGTGAATCTTGAAGGCTTTCTAGATAAAAAAAAACCTTAACTATAATAAGGTGTATTTACATTTCCAGCATGGGTATGCATATGCAATGCCAAATCTGGCGAAATCGGAAATAAATCAAGTATGCGTCCCAACCCAAATAACCAAAGCAAAGTTGTCCATTCTTGATGACCTCTAGTACATCATTTTTAGTTCCTATAACTAAATGTGTTGCAACATACCTGTTTGTATCAGTAATATAAACGTCAATTCAAGAGCTAATTTTGGTATTGAAATGGACAACACAGCTTTTACTGTTGATAGAAAGATGGTAAGGTAGCACGTGGTTGAGTTCGAGCGCAAACGGATATTTCAAATCTTTCCCTAATTACAAGTCGCCTCATTTTACGGTACTTGATATGCTTGAAGAAGAAACTATAGATGAGTAAATCAATTAAAAAAAGTGTATATTAAAAACTAGTTAACAATGTACATAGGTATACTTACTAAAAATATGTTACGTAACAGAAGTATAAAAAAATATATGTATAAATAAAAATAGTAACTATCGTACACTATATATACTTGGTTGTATTTGGCTAAAAACAAACAAATGGTATGGGTAGTTTCCAGTGTTGAATTCTACAATGTATTGTATTCAGTTTCCGAATTTAGGAATGGGACTCAAGTTATACCTAACACCTGTTTTCTCATCAATTATCACCCCCAAATCCGCATCGAACACTAAGCCCTCCCCGAAGCTCCTCTGCTTCTGTTCCCGCTTCCTCCTATAATCCTTCCCTCTTCTGTAGTTCCCCCCATGTTTCTGAACGCCGTCGCTTTCCAGAATCAGCGATCTGGCTTTGTCGTCGATGAACTCGACGTCTTTCAACAACTCTTGCTGTCTCTTGCCCCGCTGGTTGCGTTCGATTTCGATCGGCACTATCTTGGATTCTTCTTCGTATTCGGCGTATTCGGCGTTCTGGTGGCTTCCCTCGCCGTCGCCATCATTGTCATGGCCAGCGTGATTGTAGTCCCAGTAGTGCTCGCCGTAGCCTCCGTGTTTGTCGCCCCATCTGACCTGTTGATTCGTATCACACTTTTTTACTGGGAGATGGTTTTTCAATAAATTGAGGCGGATTTATATGCACACCGCTTTTTCATCAATATGTAATTTCACAATTATTAACGATTTCTTTAATGCGTTGAAACTTGATATTTCCGTTCATTCATTTATGCATCTAAATTGAATTTTATCTTTCATTAACTATTCGCTAAAAGATGACCAACTTTTATCTTTTAACGACAAAAACAAATAAAAGCTATATTCCGAATTCAACTCTGGTCAGTACTGTCAGTAGATTCACTGACTGCTGAAAATCTGCGTTCCGAAATATAAAATCAAAAGTACAGTGCTGTAATTCGGAACATATGTTTCCATCTGTAATCCAGCAGTTGATTAGCTGGTGAAATTTGTCAGTTGACAGGTCGTCACTTCGGTAATATTTCGTTTATCTGGACAATTATTAAAATAACAGACATTTTCTGATATTAAGAAGGATATTATGAATTTATCATTAATAAGACAAGACTTAATGTTTAAGAAACAACAGAAATCTATGTGACATTCCTTCCCCCTCTGAAATGATGACAGGTCACTGAAGCCACACTATCTTTTGAAAGTCAGCAATTTCACTAATTTCAGTAGAATGTTGAGTAGAAGAACTTGGAATGAATAGTATGTCTACTCACAAGTATCTGGCACTTTCAGTGATTTTTTTTTTATTTCGGAATGAAAAATCAGCAGATGCAGTACTGTCAGTTGAATTCGGAATATAGCCTGTGACTTGCGCAGGCGCGATTCTGCCCGAAGTCATACAAACAATTTCGTCTTCTTCTTTTTCGAAAATGTGGTAGAAAAGCCTAAAAATTCTAGTCGTATGATCAAATTAGACTCTGAAAACAATATGAATGAATGATTCTTATTGTAATTATGTGATCACTGAATGTTATAACTCAAATATTTTCAAGTACGCTGAGGACTACATATGTTTCGATCAAGAAGAAGAGTTCAAAATTAAAAAAGGTGGTGCATGAAGGTATCATAGTCCTTGAATAAAAATGAACTCCAATGACAGTTGATGGAAACAACAGATTAATGAAAAAGCGCTGTGCATAAATCCACCTTTACAAATACGTACTTGCCGGCAAAGAAGCCAGAATTAAATTTAGACGAATTGATCGCCCTGTAACTTATCCAATTCTTTTCCGATTTTATTGGTGAAATCCCTACCAAATCGTGAAGTCATGCCTGAATTTTAGTGTCCTAGAAAAGCTGATGGCTTGATCATTATGCATGGAAAAACAAAAGTTACTCTTCCATCCTCTAATTCTCAACGCCTGCGGCAAAAGTGAGTGATTAGACATTAACTTCATTTTAGTCCAAGATCCGGCTGCAAATTTCGCCCGTCATCTCATAACGAAATAATATATGTCCCAAGGACATGTCAATACATTGTATTTTATCGCACGGCACCTGTGCCAATCACTATCCTGAGCAAAATGATCGAAAAATGGCACTTTTCTATGCGGTAATTCGTAATGAAAATTGTTCCATTCGATACCAATTGAATAGTATATCTCGAAAATCAGAGCATCAGTATTTCCGATAATATTTCACCCCTCTCGAAAGATAATATCCGATGGACCAGTGTAAAACTCAACAAGTGGATTCGAATGCTTGCAGTGCGAGCAACGAGCTTGAGAAGCCTTCGGCTTCGAGCTGTTACCTAGTTTTCGATTGTCATAAATTTATCCCGTCTTTTATCAATGTCCTAGGGATATTATTACTGGAAACGGTACGTCACAAGAAAAATTGACAGGTCCAAGACTGCAAATGGGTCAGGAGCAGGAGTATACTCCAAACATCCGGAGACTAGCCTCAGCTACTCATTGGGGAAGTATGCCCCAGTTTTTCAAGCAGAGGTATACGCAATTCTACAATTTGCAGAAGAAAATAATAGGAGAGCCGTGGAAAACGAGCAGATCCGCATTATGTCAAACAGTTAAGCGGCACTTGAAAGCCAGGAACTGACATCTCGACTGATATGGGATTGCAAGAGGGAACTGAGAACTTTGGCAGACCGGAATTGCGTCAAGCTAATCTGGGTGTCAGGACATCAGGGGCAATGAGAATGCTCACGAACTTGCGAGAAGAGGGTCGGATAACGAGCCAGATCCAGGACAGACTCAGAGTACCAAAACGTATAGCACCAGTGTCAGTTAACGAATGGATTCAGGCAGAACATAAAAGATACTGGGAAAATATCCAGACATGGAAAAACATACATTAAGGAACCAAGTCATAAACGAACTGTAGACCTGCTCAACTTGTACAGAGTACAGATACAAACTGTCACGGTACTCATGACTTGCCATGCGTCAGTGAAGGAGCACCTCACAGAATGGGACTGTATAATGGCGACCCAAACTGCAGACTATGCGGAAAGAAACCAGAAACTGTATCATATATACTGTGCAGATGTGAGGCATTGGATCGCAAATAACAAGTTTTTGGGCAAAGAGTCGGCGAACCAGAAGTTAAATACTCCTGGTTCGCATCCAGTGAAAGATTTGTACAGACTTGTTCAAGGTACAGAGATAATGGAGTGGGTACAATAAAAACTACTAGCCTAGTGTGAATACTCAATGCTACTATTTAAGATACAATAGACCACTAGGCCCAAGTGTCGTTGGAGACATCGGTCAGACGAGCCTACAAGCGGGGTGGAATGTTTAGTGGGTATACCCTGGCTAAAGTCAGGGGACTCCCACACTATCATATGGGGGATTAGACCCATATGGTGTCTATAAAAGATTTCAACCATCTCGACAAGAAATGTCCCCCTTGAGCTTGAATTCTAGTATTCAATCGTCGTCGTGGCATCGAGTGGATCAGCCTCAAATTCTCCTCGAATGACGAATAATAGCTATATATTAGTGGGCCAGGTAGCCGTGCGGACAGAGTGTCAATATTTTAATCTGCATTCGCTTGCCGGTCGTGGGTTCAATTCCCAGCGACTACAGACATTTTTCTGATGGCCCAAGAAAGTGTTTGGGATCTCACGTCAAAAGGTAAGGCCCCCGTCATTCCTTGCTCGCACAAGACTTTCGAAGACTTCTGAGGGTTGCTCGTAAGGAGGGAACCGAATATAACAATTTTACAACAATAACAATATAATCGAATCTTTCCTGTTGATCAAAATTGGGAAAAAACCATTTTTGCGAAGAGTGCTTTGGAAGGAACGCCAACAGTTTTGTTTAACAAACTGAATTTTGACAGTTCAATTGAATATGCCAACAGGAATGTTGAATTCTTGGGCTTATCCACATAATGCAAGAAGGGTTGCCGAGTGTCTGTCAGATATGTTTCCTGACAAGTTGCTTTCCAACAACGGAGACATACGTTGGCCAGCGCGGCGACCTGATCTCTCTCCGCTGGATTGGAAACTGTCGAAATTAATCTCGTGAAACAAAACTGTTGGCTTTCTTTTCAAAGCATTCTTCGCAAAAATGTTTTTTTCCCAATTTTGATCAACAGGAAAGATCATATCGTGTGATACATCATAGTGAAAAAAAAAACTTTTCAAAAATGCAAAAATCTAATATGGCGCCCATAAGAAAAAACAATGGCATCAAGAATGTCATGGGGAATACAATGACAGATCCAGATACTTACCTTGCAAAAAAGTGTCTGAAGAATGTCCCAGGCAGAAACGAAAATTATAAATTTACGTCTTCTTCCAATGAATCAAAAACTAAAAATGACATATCAAATTTCCTTGCAGATAATGTTCAGCATTAAAATGCGCAACTTTGCCATAATTTGACCTACCTCGTATCTGTTATAATAACTGAGATTTCCATAGTGGAACTTGAAAACCGGACACCCTGTAGGTTCTGATTCATTGTTGATGAAGATTGAGAAATATAGTTTCTTAAAAAACTTGTATCTTCTCTTGAAGAGGAGATATTGACGTGAATCAGAAAACAAATTAGGAAGCATATAGTTCAACTAAAGTAACTTTTGTTCTTCCTGCATTATGATCAAGCCATCAGCTTTTCTTGGGAACTGAAATTCAGCTAACCTTCTGAAACATACATTTACGATTTGGTTCGAATTTCACAATAATCGGAGAATACTTGAAACCTTACAACCAATTTAGCAAAATTTTTTCCTGACCGTTTTTTTGCCGGTGCGAGGTATACCGGGTAATTCAAATTCGAGGGCGCATAAATACGTAACTTTGCCCTAATTTAACCATCTTCGCATCTCTTATACAGGGTGACTGGTAATTCGATGATTCCCTTTGGAGATGTGATAGGGAAGGTTGTGAGGAGTAAATTAAACCCTAATATGCATTATGCAAAAGTTTATAGTTTTTGAGATATTCAAATTCTTCTGTTTTTATCCAGAAGGTAGACTTCAAGGGTTCAAAAGTTTTTTTCACCTTACAAACAAAAATACGACTTCGTATTTACAATCCATCTATGATCCAAATCATTTCTGGAACTATTTCATTCCAAACATGAGACCATAGTGTTGATCGTGTATTCTAGTTGAAAGATTGAAAAAATGTACAGCAGATTTTCGGGAAACTAACTTTTACACCCTTGAAGTCTACCTTTTGGAGATAAACAGAAAAAATGAAATATCTAGGAAACTATTTACTTGTGCATAATTGTCATTAGGGTTAAATTCACTCCCTACCACCTCTGTTATCACATCACCAGAGGAATGTACGAATAAGCAGTAACCAGTATAGTTTCCTAGATCCCAATGGTGGCCTTTGAATTTGAATTACCTAGTGAATGCTAAGTCAAGAAGCTCATAACTATATACACTGATAGAATATCTATATTGATAGCTTTGCTAGCATTACAGTTTATAGCCAGTACCAGAAAATACACAAGCTATACAGCTACTCTAGCACCATCAGTAACAAAAGCCATACAGCTACTAGGACACATCCTCCCAATGTAGGTAACTGATGACCATTTATGAATATGATATTGAACTTGCTCCACTGATTTTGAGATGGTTATAACATGAAATTTCTATGAATTCAATGGTGATTTCATGCTGATTCCATGGTTATTCCATGCTGACATCATGGTGATAACATGAATTCCACTGTTATGATATTACTTTCGATAGTAACATGGATTTCATATGGAATGGTTATCCCCTTGTAGCCGAAATTAAGAAACAGCAGAATTATAGTGCTCGTATGCCGCTCTCGTATCAATCCCTACTTATCCCCATCAATCTGAATATTCCCAGATAGCACGAATTTTCTCAAAATATTCTCACAAGCTGCGAAAATGTCATCAAGTTGATTATGTCGGGGAATATTCATGAAATGTTCCGAATATTCATAGATCCATTATTATATAGGGTGGCATTGAAATGAGTGCAAATATTTCAAACACTGAGAAAGCTCGACGTGTACTATCGAATGGCACTAATAAAAAACATTCAAGTAGGGATCAAAATAAAATTTGAGGTTAGAACCCTTTTCCAGTCACACGGAGTTCAATGATTTAAATTGTTTTAAAGTGGCGTATTTGATTTTTTCCTCGTATTTTGTTCAATTTTTGGGATGAAATTTCTCGTTCATCAGAAGAGTTAGGAAACATCTGATATCATTGGGATATCCCTTAGCCTTAGACTGTATCATATTTATGTGTTGAACATGTTTTTTCAATGTAGGTCGAAGGAAAATATGTGAAATGAATGATACATTTTTCTCTGTGTATTTGATAATGCCATCAAAGCTTTTGCATTTATATGGTTGGGTGATCCGTGGATGAGGGAGATATGTGCGGATTGAGATGAGAGCAGCATAAGTGATCTACAAACAGATGAAAAACTCCATTACCAAACCGAGTTTTCAATGCATCGAAACCTGTTTAGCTCAATGAGTTCTATTTTCAGGAGTACGTTATTTGAATATGTTCAATAAACTTTAAACACATTAAAATAATTGTTTTATAAATGTTAGTATGTATTCGCCTGGTAGGACCTAACTATTCGGAATCAACAAATTCAGATGGTTTGATCTGGTTTGAAACACTTTATTCATTATATTTCCATAGGTGTACACATTACATATGTCTCCTTGATTTTGATCATATATCATCTACTATTGAAAATCTGGTCAACTGTATATTCTATTTCACATTATATTACTATTTGAAAATTAGCAACGTAATGTGGATTTATTGAAACAATCGCACCACCCTATTTCTGTTGGTACCATTAGGGAAACGAATTTTTATTTTATGAATGGGATGTAATTGATGTCGATGATGATGGTGATGATGACGTCGAGATTTCCTTATAGACCAGTACGAATTAGATGTGTCCCGCTGAAATATGTATCTTGATTTAATTTGTTCACGATGTTTTCAACGCACATAATTGCAGTATTCCTACAGTGCTTTTCTTTGATGTCCCCCCCTTTATTTTTTTAACAAGTTGACTAAAAAAATTTATACTTGAGGTGATTGATGCATGAGAACTATAGTTTGGGGTAAAAGTGACAGATGAAGATTTCGAGATGGCGACTGGGCGCCTTCTGGGAAAAAAAAAATGGAATCTGAAGTCAATATCTTTACGTACGTACGTAATGCATCGACGTTTACTTCATAATTTGAGGAAATAAACTGATTTCCGTTCAGAAGAAGCTAGAAATGGTTGCCTTGAACTTCTTGACATAAGAACAGCTTATCCGATATGTTACGCCGAACGCTTTAGAATACAGTTACAAATAGTTATCATTCTCTGTTGTATATCTAATATTGAAGCAGGTCCAGTTTCGTACACATTCTGTTTCAAATAGCCCCATAAAAAAGTCTAAAAGTTTCAAATCTGGCGAGCGGACTGACCGTTCCGTAGGCCCCCTACGGCCAATCCAACGACCGGAAAAAGTATTATCCAAATGTTTCTATAGCTTGTCTGGATTGATGCGATAGTGCTCTATCTCGTTGGAATACAATGTCCATATCATTGATGACTTTGTTTATCCAGGCAACTATTAAATCCAAAGGAAGGAGGGAATGCTCGAAGTCGTCTACACAAATTTTAATGGTGTTGTTACACAATCAGAAGGGACATGCTTCGGTCTTATAAAATACTATTACCAGCCAAAATAAAGGTTGTTAGGTTGAAAAAGTGTGATGCTACTAGCTGTAAAATTGTTATCAATGCCCATAGTCGAGTAATCGAATTTATAAGTAATCAATCGGGAGTTTGGGCATTTGCAACCATTTAACAGCTATAGTAGCATCACACTCTTCCAGCTCCAAAACTTAAAATTAGGTTGAAAATAGTCTTTCATAGGACCGAAATATGTTCCTTCTACCTTCTGGTTGTGTAACAACATCATCAAAATTTATAGAGATGACTTCGAGCATTCCTTTCTTCCTTTGAAAAATTCCACTTCACTTTGAGCAATATGGTCTTCTACCAAAGATCAACTATAAAATGTTCCATCATTTTGTAGTAGGTGAAGATATTGACTCTATATTCTAGTGTTCTGAAGCATTTGTCAGTAACTTCGAAAAGATGTAACACAAGTGGTCCGTTTACATTTAATTTTTTCCCCAGATGGCGCCCAGTGGCGAAATTTGTTTCGGTCAATTTTACTTCAAAATATAGTACCTATCCATGGATCAATTCCGTTATCCCAAGTTTCAAATTTTCCAGTTAACCCTATCAACATATGAAAGGGGGGAGGGGCATTAAAGATATATTTGCCGCTTCCTTCTATGGACACATATCACAAAAGAACACAGATGCGAAAGCTTTGTGGTCGACTTTGATGTTCGATGGCTCAACATTCGTTATTTTCCGTCGATCTACACTGAAAAGTATTTCTTTGGTGCATTCATAATATATTGAACAATTTAGTTACACAGATGATCATCAGATTGAATTTTATAATGAAACTGAAAAAATTAGAGAATATTTTAGATAATTTATATTTGGCCAAGTGAAGAAAAGTTATTGAATCAGAGATTGATTAATGTAGTTAGGATATCTGTGTCATAGTCACTATTAAGTGGAAGGCGGCAAATCGAAGAAGTAGCAGACACTGCTACTCAGTATTTTGTATACCATGAAATTAATCCTATACTTTCTTGCACTCGAGGAAAAATTGTCACGAGAATTAGGAAACCTTCATCAATTTCACAATTCAATTTGATAAATAATAAATAGGCACCAGTTGGTGGTTTGATCAGTTTGGTTTGGAATGAAGTAACTTTCAACAACGGTTGACTTAAGTGATCGAATGTTACTTTAGTACCGGTTTGGAAGGACTAAAGGACAGTTATTCCCGGGAGTGCAAGAACGTAGATATGAGATATCTACAGTGTGACCCACTTCTAATGGAAACACCCCTGTATCTTACGTAATCGTTGGGTAAGGATCCTGAAATTTGCTGGAGCGAGAGATATACCAAAAATTCACTCTATTACGAAGTGGGGTCATCTTCAGTGATAAACACTGCTCGTCAACAGCCATAGAACCACCCCAATTTCCTGAAAATGATATTAGGAGTCAAAAGAGGTCGAAAATCACTTCAGATTCGGAATTAGGGCGCCCGATTCACTAACTATTCATATTTTTCCTAGAAAATGTTCAGTTCTGAGAAATTAAATTTTGTCGCACTTTTCACGGAAGCACCCCCGTATCTTACGGAATTGACTTTATCTTTGGACTTTCCCTTCCTCCTGCAAATTTCAGAACCTCACGTGAGATACGGGGGTGCTTCCATGAGAAGTGAGAAAAAAATAAATTTTTCTGAACTGAAAATTTACAAGGAAAACTATGAATAGTTAGTGAATTAGGCGTCCTGGTTCCGAATCCGAAGTGATTTTCAACTTATTTTGACTCCTAATATCATTTTCCGGAAATTGGGGTGGTTCCATGGCTGTTGGCGAGCAGTCTATATCAGCAGTGTATATCACTGAAGATGACCCCACTTGGTCATATATATATATTTTTGGTATATCTCTCGCTCCAGCAAATTTCAGGATCCTTACCCAACGATTACATAAGATACAGTGGTGTTTCCATTATAGGTTGGTCACACTGTATATGTACAGCGACAGTTTCATGGAAGAAAGAAGAGCATATTTCCTCCAGAAGTAAAAAGAGCTGTGGTCATTTGGCCAAAAATCAGTCCGGTAAAGGAATGCTCTTTAATTTTTAAATTTATTTTATAATGTGATTTCCACATGGCTTTATAGGTATGTTTGTTTCTCAATAACTTCTCATCATCTGTAAATTGAATATCTTCACAGGTACTGTGTACTGATGTGTCTGCAGATGGCTGTTGGAGCCGAAACTGGTCACAATCAATACGATTTGTGTAATATAATTCTTGTGACCGACTCGGTGTTATTTTGTTGTTTCTTTGGAAAAATCTGGACCACTTTGAGAAGGATAGATGGTTTCCATGACTTAAAATAATAATAATTGAGATTATGCCGTATTACGAAGATGTGAACCACTTACAGAAGATTATTTGGCAATAAGTATGGTTAGAAAGTATACCTACCTGTATTATGATCCTATATTCTAATATTCTACTTGCATGCAAGATATGTTCATGATGATTATTCAGAACTCAGAGTCACTATCCAGGGTGTTCCACAATGTCCTCAACAAGCAATATCTCAGTTATATAGAATTGCAAAGGTGACAAACTTCATGAACCATTGAATTGAACCATATTTCTCAGAAGCCGATCCTTGAGGTTCTGTAACTTTACATAAAAAAGAATTTTCGGATTTGGAGAATCAGCTCACGAGAGAAATCGATGGAGTTTAGAAACACCCTGTATAGGTTTGGTGAGGCCGAAACAGTGTGTGACCAAAACATTGTTAACTGTGATTTTGAAAAAGCTGTGAAATTGTTAGTATAGGTACGCCAAAGTCTGGATATATTTTCTAAACTATATATGATCTGTTAGTAAGGACAAAAAAGAAAAATTACTTTTGTTTTGAATTCTCCAGCATGTGGGTGTTCTTTCTCATGGCGCTCTATGAAATGGTGTTCATTTCCCATTTTGTGTCCATGGTCTACGTGATCTTTCGCAGGTACGTGTATGTATCTGTTAGTAAAGAAAAGAAGAATTATTAATACAAGCGTTTTATTTTTATTTTATTCTAGTCGGAGAACGGTGGAAAAATTATAAAGACAAAAATTGATGTGCCAGCCTTGGTAGACAGTGAGAAGAGAGAGTACATATATATAGCAAACATTAAGAGCACCTTTCCTTTTCTGGTTAGGTTTCCAAGATTGAGTTTTTCATAGCGTTGTTCCCAGTCATCAGGAGTCTCACGGACGTGGCCGAACTCCAGCTCATCTGGTCTTTCCATGGCCACGTAAATATCCCTATTCAATCAAATTGGATAATATTTATCATCTGACACATAATAGTTAAATTATTCAATAAGCGCATAATGATGGATGGCTATTCTCCAGCGTAGATAAGGGGAGGGTACTGGGGGACAGTACCCCCCCTGAAAGCACAAAAATAGTAAAACGTTAAAAGACTCAGAAACAATAATAATTAATGAATTCGAAATGTTATATATCAACAGGTTGATGCCTGATTATGTTCTATACCAGTGATTCAAAGATTCTAGTAAAACAAGTTTCTGAATATGTTAGTAAATTTTGAAATGAATTATCTCCCAAACATTTCAGTCAGATTTGTTGCAACCAGAAATGGATCTTTGGAAAAATGAATGGAAAGAAACCAAAAATAAACCTTAAATAATTTACCCAAAGAAACAGTCTCAGATACTTTACAGCATTGCAGTATCGAAATATTTCCCACTATTTATACATACTCCTGCAGATAAAATCTTTTATGACGGTGAGTGTGGCGAGTGCTGAAAGATCATTTTCTATACACTTAAGTAAGACACTGAAATCAAGGTTGAGGTGTACAATGGGTCAGGCTAGTCGGATTAACTTCATATTAAATATTCATAGATATATTGAAGTAGACATAGATGCTGTTATCGATAGGTTTTCCTTGAGGTTTTCAAAGAAATGTGAAAGAATTTGTTTTATAATCTAGTCACGGGGGTACCTGATATTTTGTTAATCGGATTCAATCAAGAGTTTTGAATGATAAGTTACCTACTTTATGTTATCTAATGGTGAAATTGAGAGATTATTTTTTTTTTCATCTATTTCATATAATAGGCATATAAAATATGTTTTCATCGAGAATATTTATCTTGATTTGTTCATTTGAATGACTGATAATTGTTATTTTGTTAATTTTGAATATTCTAAGATATAAAAACAGCTTTAATAAAAGTTGAAGCTAATAAACCACCATTTTGTGTTAATTCATTATACCCTGAAACGTGTTGTACTATACTATTATTATTTATATATATTAAATTATAATTTAATTTCCGCTACTGATAGTACCCCCCCTAGAGAAAAAACATACCTACGCGCCTGTGGCTATTACTGACAAGAATAGAAATTGCAGTACGAGCACAAGGCAAGGGATGTAATCATCTGAGCGAGTAATATATTATAGCTATTCAAATACCAAAATAAATTTGTGTTTCTTATAGTTTAAGGATTGATTTCGTTATATTTTTTGCTATTTCTTCAGACAACATTTCCTCAACGGCTCGTCTTGCGAATTTTACACTACAGAAATTGGAGTGACGGCTGCAAACTAGATGAAGTACCTACCTATGGTTTTGAATCATATGAGCATGTTTCGAGGAACAGGCATTTTTACAGTGGAAATTTGATTCATAGCATTGCTTCCTGTTCAGTTGATACCGATAGAACATGGTATTCACTACTGAAATCTGAGAATGAAAATGGTAAATTCGAGATTAATTGTTGAAAACATCCTGTAACTCATTTGATTACCAACGTCACCAATTTTCACTGAGCACTGAGAAGTTTCAAGACAAATACGAATTTGCCATACAAAAAATCCATTTTTTATGTTGAAAATGGGAGCAGATTCGTTCCCGAAACGTCCAAAAAATTTAATATTCTTTCTAGATACCTTTATTTCTCTTCTCCAAACCTTCTTCAATACAAATTGTCACTAAAGAATTTTTCTTTTAGGCTCTATGTTAGGAAAATTCTTTGATCGCAGTGACATTTTGGGGCAAATCATCTTATTTGTCCTCACTATACGTATATTAAGATAGTATTCATATTTTTATTTTATAGAAACAAGGAGAGAAAATACCAAAAAAATCTGAAATAATGAATGTACCACATCTTCGATTAACATACAGACAGTTATCAAAACTTGTCCCAGGGGGTCTATTCTCGAGCGATATTCGTATACGAGTTCGATCTTCTATTTCACTTCAATATACGTCACATACATAAGTGCATCTTTCTTTAATCGTATACGAATTGAATTCGAACGGTTCGAGAATAGAGCCCCTGGTCTTGTACGCATCCTTACATTAATTCGATCACAATCAGAACTTCATCCCAAACCTAAATTACAGATCTGAAGAACATACAGAACGTTGAAATAATATTCAGATTTTACCATTGTTACCGTTTTCTATCTCTATCAAATGAACAGGAAGCAATGTTATTTCCTCCATTCAGAAGATTGCAAACGGATTCTTTTTTTTTTGTTTTTATCATCTTTTCCTATATTCCCATATGGTTTTTGTGTTATTCCAGATGTTGTCCATTCTCAGTAAGAATCTATGTCCTGACCAGGTATATCTATCAGATTGCCAACTATACCATTTTTCAGTGATGAAATGTGAAAGCATATCAGATACTTGGAATTTGAACTGAATAAATAATACCTTGAATCAAATTCAAAAATTCTATGAAATCGAAATGATTTTTTTCTAGCTACTTCGACACCCTGTATATCGAAAATGAAGAACGTCATGAAACAAGTTTATAGGAATATTTTTGTTGATGTTTTGTAGATGAAGTTAATGTAATACTTAATATTATTTATTGGACACTGTATGTTAGTGTACAACGGTTCCTCAGTAATCACTTGTACATGTATGATCGGGCATAACCTCGGCTAGGGTACAACAATTTGACAGTTTCGTTTGTCCTAAGAAATTTTACTTAAAAAATGGCGAAGGTTCTTTCATAACGGGTTTTAAAAAATGGCGAAGGATAGGGTTATGAGCGGAGCACCCATCATCTGAATTGCTATGTAAAAAAATATTTTCGATTTGAAATGTACAGGCTTAGTATGATTGCATTTGATGCAAACGCACCACACCGTTCTGATGTTTAAACTGAACAAACCGACTTTTCAACGCATCGAATGATGATTAAATTCGAGTTAATCTTCTCCTGAATATGCTAACTTGGTCAGCGGAACAAGTGGTTCACATGAAAGTCCTGTATTCGAGAGTCTCGCATGGCCTCGTCTCGTTTTCGAGATGTGACTCGAGATAATACGCTTACAAGACGAGACGATACTTTTATTAGTCTCGTCTTGAGTTGAGTTGTGCCAGAGGTCTCGCATCTCGTACGAGAGTCTCGCAAGTGCATATTTCTACGAGCGGACTGTCTCCTAAGAGAGCAACGGCTCCCCGAAAGGCCGCTCCTGAAGATGATATTTCTTGAATATTTCCGAAACGCCACGTGATAAAATGATGCAATTTTGTACAAGAACTAAACTTTCCATGCTTAATGCGGTGAACATAAAATCATTCCAGGGTTTCATTCAAGAGTGTATAATACACATGTACACGTGTACATCAAATATTGCTCAAACTTTATCGTGTGCATATTTTTTAACAATTGAATCTCGGATTATGAAAATCCACACCGATTCACAAAAAAGGTGCACTTGTTCCGCATCGATCAGATGTATCATTTTCTAGTGAAATCTATTTGAACATATTGATGCACTCACATCTTATGCATAACGTTGCCAATTTTCCAATCATAGTGGCTATAAAAAAATTAAGTACTTTCTATTTGCCAAACAATCTCATAAAGCGCGAAAAATAGAAAAATAATGATGAAAAAACTACTTCAATTTTTGTGCATTTTTTCCCATTTTCCCTACGCCCCATTGCAATGGTATGCATAATATCTGAGATGTAACAATTGTTTTAAATTGATTTCACTCGATAACAATACATCTGATCGTCACGGAACAAGAGTACCTTTTTTCTGTAAAGATGTGCGAAGTTTCATAATCCGAGATTAAATTGTCGAAAAATATGCATACAATAAATTTTGAGCAATATTTAATGTAGTCCCACCCTGTATTATACACTCCTGATTGAAATTTTGAAATGATTTTATCTTCACTGCATTGGGCATGGAAAGTTAAGTTCTTGTACCAAATTGCATCTTTTCATCACATGGAGTTTCGGAAATTCTCAAGAAATATCATCTTCAGGAGCTCCCTTTCAGGGGACCGTAGCTCCTTCTCGACTCATGTTCATTGGAATTTTTCTTTATATTTTTCATAAAAGCCGCTGGTGAAGTTTGGCAGGATGATTTTGGGACACCCTGTATAGCTATTTATGTGACAACAACGAAAAACTGTCTAATATGGTCGAATCTGCAAATTGATAGCCGAGGTCTTAGCCGATGCTAGCAAACAGGCGAGACAACAGACATTTTTTCGACGAGGTGCATATTAAATTTTTTCGTCGTCCTACACTTGAATCCACATCACGGTCCTATTCACACGTGATATCTATCGGATTTCGTGAATAATTAATCTGAAAACAGCCAATGACAGTTGTCGTCAACTCACTCTCCGCGCGGACCAGCGTTGCCAGTTCGATTTTTATTTCATCATCAAATACCTTGTCGAAAATTCAGATCCATTTTATGGTATAAGAATTCCAAGAAAGAATAATGAAATAGATCTATGACGTCAAAACATTATGTACTTTTGGTAAACAGAAAAATATCCATTTTTTTTGTGACGGGAAAAAAGTTTGGCATTTCATCTCTGTTGGCAGGTTATGAAATGTCACTTTTCATAAATAACTTTTTTCCCGTGGGAAAAAAGTGAGTCAATAATACCGTCTCACAGAAAGAACTGCAAGTCCTTTTATCTATCATTCGACTACACTAAACAACCACTAATAAAAATTCGCAATTTTTTTGAATCAAATCACAGTATTAGACTGACAGAAGTGACATCAGATATTTGATTACTTCAAAATAATGATAAAGATGCCTACAGCGCAGGTGTCCCTACTGTTAAAAACTTAAAATTTCACGTCGATAATTTTCAGATTTCAAAATAATGTGATATCCTCTCAATATTGATTCGTCCTTTCTTCTGTCACAGAAAAAAAATAGTGTATTATACACGGGAAAAATATTAGATTTTAGCTCACGGTTTTTTGTCTCAACAACCTGGAGCTAAAATCTACTACTTTTTTCCCTTGTATAATAAAAAACTAGTTTTCAACAAGATGGGAACAAACAGAACAAACATTAACATAAGAAAATAATCATAATATGCCTAATTCTCAATTCAAAAATACTCACGAATATCACAAAATACAGTTACATAGGTACTTATAATATCAGAGTATATAAAAAACTGGAACAAAAATTGAAAATGAACAACAAAAATACACAAATTGAACGTTAGAAACAAACTGTAACAGAGGTATATAAAAAATTGAATTTGATCTGAATCAGATGAAGTATTGTTCTTTTTTGGTTTATGCATATCATAAGTACCTATGTAAATTTATTACTTATTTTGTGAAATTAAGTCGAACAGAGCGTGCCGAAATATCATGCAATTCATAAGTGTATGTGATTAAATAATGATCAATAATATTATTCGTAATTATAAAAATTAATAAGTGTCGAAATATTTTCCAGTAGGTTATGAAATGTTTCAGTGGATCAGTAGATCCATATGCAAATCAGGAGATCAATTCAATATTTAGAACTGGCAACCCTGCAGCGGACGAGAAAAATTTCCGCGGACGAAAAGTTTGTGTCTGCTAAAGACAAGTACCCGCCTTCGGATATATTCTTTTTTTCGTTCGTTAATCAGAACATAGAATGTGATTTTTTGTAGAGGTCGATCAAAAAAGAGTTTTCGAAAAAAACACATCTCATGATAAGTGCAAAATTACTTGATGGTGATTGGGACAACTCACTGAAAATATTTGCTCCCTTGATGTGCTGCTGCTGCTTGAACTGGTGCTGGATTCGTGAATCCGGTCTCTGCGGGCAAGTTATCCTGATTTTCGGATATGCTGCTGATGACTTGTCTCTTTTCTTGAATTTTTTGCGCCGCCAGACAACCCAAACAAGCTAACGTCACTAGTGCGGCCTATTGCAAGAACAAAATCAGCAATAAATTCGAAATTTCGGAGGCATTTTCTTGTACGAGGTATGATTTGAAATATAAAACTGTGGCAATTTTTCATAGGTACGTCCTGAAGTTCCTCCATTTGTTGCTGTTACGTCCCCAAATAACCATTTTTGTAAAAGGCACCCATTCACATACACTGAAAAAAGTAGTCGGTAGTGATTACCAAACGTGTAGTGAAATAGGCGACAGTCACAACATTCGTCTAATGAAACCACTACAACATCATATAATACTATACGATATCAAATATCACCACTACAAAATAGTATGATACTCATAGTTTAGTTTGATGAAATTTTGTAGTGGTATAATTTTATCAATGTAGTGACTGGCGCCTATTCTACTAATCGTTTGGAATTTACTACCGAATATTTCTCTGAATTATAACACTAGCAGCAGAATTTTCGAAAATTAATTCTGCTGCGTGGGAGATTCGATAGGCAAATTTCATAAATTGGAGTTGCTTTTGATATGATGGGACGATGAACCCTACGACCCATTCAGCGTAGATGTCAAATAATATTTGACACTTAGGCATGAATCGTTTTCATTACTAATATCTGGAAAACATTGAACAACAAATTTATCTTAAATCCGATGTCTTCAGAGTTTCAAATTCAAATGAAACTTGACAAAACATATTTTCGATGAGTCAATCGGTAAAAGTGCATCCCAAAAACTTGGTTTTCTGTTTCGGGCCAGGAACTATTTCACTTCTAGTCAGCTGCTTATGATATACAAGGCACAGATCCGACCTGTCCTGAAATACTGTTCCCATATTTGGAGTGCAGCACCCAAACATACCCTGAAACTGTTGGATTCTGTCCAAAAAAGAGCAATTCGTCTCGTGGGTGATGCCTCGCTCACAAACTCACTCACTTCTCTGGAAAACCGTACAAAAATTGGCGATCTGGCTCTATTTTATAGATATTTTCATGGACGATGCTCTCCTGAAATATCAACAATTGTTCCTCCCTTGGCAGTCCCCGCGAGATTAACCCGTCGAGTTGAGGCTTCGTACCCCTTCGTGGTCACTTTGGAGACCTGCAGAACATCTCTTTCCAAATACTCGTTCGTACAACGAACAGCGAGGCTCTGGAACACATTGCAAAGGGAGGTGTTACCCGAGGCATTCAAACTCCAGAAATTTAGGAAGAATACCAATTCCTATACATTATTTCCCTTGGTTCTCACGATGTTCTCTGAACATTACAGAATATCCCTTTTCGTGGGAACCAGAACATAAAAAAAACTATATTTTTCAATAGGAGTTGATTTTATTTGTGAGTAACTGGTGTTTATCAATAAAATTTCAAGAACATTAAAAACATCTATTCGTTTTCAACCATAACATCTGATATTACATGTCGACATAGCCTCAAATGGAACAAAAAAAAAACAATATTTCCGATGAGTGTGGTAAAATATGACGCACTATATTTTTACAATAAAAATTGATTTTACTGTCTAGTAGTCTAGTACTTGAGGTTTATCATTGAGGTTTCAGGAACATTGACAACCAACCATAACATCTGATATTACATGTCTACATAGCCCCAAATGAAACTTAAAAAACTATATTTCCGATGAGTTTAGGTAAATATGACGCACTATATTTCAACAATAGTATAGTACTTGAGGTTTTTCATTGAGGTTTCAAATTCGTTTTCAACCATAACATCTGCTAATACATGTCTACATAGTTTCAAATGAAACTGAATGACTTTTGCCAATAGATATAAGGCGCTTTATTTTTGACAGCATAATTATCACTTATCAATTCCATTAAGTTGAAAGCCGAACAAAATTGTTGAAAATAATGGCTATAAGCATTCACATTCCTAACCCAAATAATGAATATTATCGAAAATGAAAATAAACAGAACAACCACTGAATACGGAAACAAAAATGGAGGTAAATATAGAAACAAATCAAAACAGTAAAAACTTAACCGTTACAAAATAAAATTTGTGTTTCTATTTTTCTTACTGGCGCTAGTGGCTCCTGCACTGACGATGACTGTACACACGTTACATGTTACGTTAAGGACAGATAATAGGCCTGTTCGTTTGTGCTTGCTCTACCTGCTGAACTTAATTTTTTTCTATGACCCTTTCTGAAATTGTTCTAAAATTGTTCTAAGATTGTTTTATCCGACATTCGGAACCCTCAGAAGTCTTCGAGAGTCTTGTGCGAGCAAGGAATGACGGGGGTCTTACCTTTTAATGTGTGATCCCAAACACTTCCTTTGGCCATCAGAAAAATTTCTGCAGTCGCTGGGAATTGAACCCACGACCGGCAAGCGAATGCGGATTAAAATATTGACACTCTGTCCGCACGGCTACCTGGTCCCCTACATCATGCTATGAACAGATACAACTATGGGAAAAAAATCGACTTTAGCAAGTTCAGCAATACAAACGAACAGGCCTAAGTTGTGGGCAACTTATCTCTGGACAAGGGTCAAGGAGAATAGTACATTACATCAAGGGACAGGAATGCAAGATTTTTTCCAAGGTGCGATTTGTAGCTCGAGGGCGAAGCCCGAGAGATACAAAGCACCGAGGGAAAAATAGCATTCTGTCCTGAGGTGCATGTACTATTTTTTACGCTGGCGAAATTACAAAAATTAAGAAAGAATAAAAATTTGCTCGAAGTGTTTGGTCATAATTGGTAGTAGAATAGTTTGTGCAATTCGTATCTTGAAAACAGTGGTGACCGCAAATATCGAACTGATATTTATGAAAACAGCTTTTTAAAATGATTAACGGTTATGGAACAAGAAATCGAGGGAGAACCCCAAGAAACTATTGATACTGCTTCTGCAGTGATTCTTAACTTACTACCAGTGAAACCCAGGAATCTCTATGATGCAGCTTATACTCCCTTCAGAGAAGAGTGTCCCGAAAAGAAAGCGCAGAGCTATGCGGAAAATGTAAAGTTGGTATAACTCCCTAGGGAGAAAATATGTCACATTATCTCCCTAGGGAATAATACGCCACTTCTGCCCCTCTTTTGCAACCAGAGAAACTAACTTCAACTCCCGACGGCGTTAAAACAAATTTGAATACAGATGTTACGCGCGGTGTTCGACGAATAGGGTAGGTACCACCCGTATGTGTCTCTTATGGTCATTTTATGGGTACCGTACTTGATACTGGCGAAAAATAATGGGGGTAATATTTGTGAAACAGTGAACTTTCGTGTTCTAGTTAACAATTTATCTAGGCGATAACCAGATATTTTTAGAGAATTGTGGAGGGGCTTAGGCGGGTTAATTTCGCCCGCTACCCCTCCCTCAAATACGCTCCTGATTGTGTGAAATCACGTCTGAAAATCTGCCACTATCTTCTGGTCCAAAATATAGCTATGGAAAACGAACAATCTATAAAGAATCTATAGGTATAAAGAATCTATAGGAGTAAATACAGAGAGTCAGACATCAATGAGATATCCAGACTGTTGGTTGGACGAGGCTACAGTAGCCTAGATGATGAAATATTTCTTTGTGTTTCCTTTCAGAATATTATAATAATGAAGACTATAATACTAATGATAAGATACTGATATGAAGTTACAGAAAGAATGCTAGAAAACGATAACGCTTCAAAACCACATACGAAAAGACATCATAGTATCGATATTAAATTCATCCACCTAATATTTTGAAACTTTTAACAAAATCGTATCAGATGATGATAAAGATGAAAGCGCTTTCAACTTGATAAGGAATGATCAGAATCTATGCAATCGAATTTGAATATGATTTTGTTTGCATAGATATTTAGCTAATTAGCATGAAGTGAAAAAACTGTCTTGTTCGAAAATACTACTTCACACCTCAAAAATTAGTATAAGTTATAATAAGAACCTTCACTGTTGACTAGAAATTCAATCACTTTGAATGAGGAAAAAATATATCGGTGACATCATGAGGATGATAAACAATGTAGAACAACAAGGATATTCTGCAGGGTCTACAGTTCAGACTGAGTCATTTGACAATCTTAGCAAAAATGATGCGATGGATACGATGATGACTATTTTGCCTGAGATAATTGAATGATTGGACTCGATTCCTAGAAGTTATAACTGTTTGAAGGAGAGTGACATAGGATTGTTCATCATTTTGTGGTTTTGTAATTTTTTGAGTTTTGATGTGTCATCAGGATATCAGGAATCCTAATTGGTAGATTTGTGTCAAATAGCACAATATCGAGATCTTTTTGATATACACCGTGCATGTACATATGTATAGGATGGCCCATCGAAAATTGGACATGAGGGTTTTAAAACGCTCGGACAGGTCCATTTTAGTTTAGAGGGGGACATTGTGACCTCTTACATGCAGCACCGTCACGTCAACCCCTGAGCAAGGGGGCGAACAACCCTTGAAATTTGAATAGGGAATAGGAGTCGGGTGGCACATCGTTTGAAAGCCCGTTGAATTCTCGAAACAACGGTCATCAGTTTTTCAACCAGAATGAGCCATGATTAAGTAAAGAGTGAAATTCAATTACATTATTCTCATCCAGATTTTGTTGAAAACGTTCTCGAACATTTTGAAGCATGTCTGGGGTGATTTGGCGACATTCTTCTGTGATTCGTTGCCGTAAATCTGCTAGTGAAGCTGGTGGTGTACTATAAGTTCTGCTTTTCAAATGAACCCACCGAAAGGAATCTGAGGGAGACAGGTCTGGTGATCGTGGGGGCTGAACAGGCATAGCATAATGCGGATCTTGTTGAAATATCAACTTATCTCCCAGATAATGATGGTCATTTTCAAAAATATTCGTTAACATTGGATCAATTGTGTCTTCAAGCAATTCCAGATTCATTTATCCTGTCAGATTGCCTTCTAAGTTGATTGAACCGTTCAGCAGCCTTTTGTGTCTTCAAGCAATTCCAGATTCATTTATCCTGTCAGATTGCCTTCCAAGTTGATTGAACCGTTCAGCAGCTATTTTCGCACATCTATTGCTTACATAATACAGTTCAATCAACTCAACCCTCTCTGCCACTGTATACACCATTGTTCCGTTTTGATTCAACAGAAACTGCATGCATCTGTTTTATTTTATTACAATATTTTCATGGGTATCGCGAAAAAAACAAGAGCAAAACTTTCACAGTATCGTCGCAAATAAATGATATATTGCAAAAACTTGCAAATGAGTGTTTCAGAGACGTACAGGTATGCTCTTAACTATCGTACAGGTTCATTTCTGAATTTATTTTTTCCCAAACGGTTCATCCCAACTTCAAAATCGGGACGCCGTTGGATAGAGATCTTAACGGGCTTTCAAAAGATGTGCCACTCCACCATTATTCCCCTTTCAAATTTTAGGGGTTGTTCACCACACAGCTCGAGTGTTGAAGTGACGGTAGTGCATCTAGGAGAAAAAAATGTCCCCCTCGAAACTAAAATCGACCTGTCCGAGGGTTTTTTCACATCAGCGATAATATCACCCAAAACCCCGATGACAAGTTTTCGATGGGTTGGATCTCATACCAGAATCCTTCCGCGCGACTATAGATGACTCACTCTTGTAATCGTCAACACTATGTTAGCATATATATAGAGAAGTTTGATAATCTAGGAAAATCTCTCGAGGGACCTATCTTGAAAAAAAATTAAATAACATAGTAGTCAATGATACCTTAATTCAAATGTCTTTCAACTATCCCAGTCTAAGCAAAATTCGGAAGGTATCTATTCAAAATCAGAAACAACGATATTTTCTTCAGGAAGCCCCCTTTCTTCATTATCTGGATAGATATGCTCAATATACGGAGCATTAAAAAAGTTATTAGTATTTTCATCCAAGAAAACCCTCAGTGTAGATTTTGCTATAACTCATAGGAATATTATTTTGCGAAAGATCATCAAAAATATAACATTGAATTCCTAATGTATTATACAGAGGTGAAACAAAGATACCCCTCTCAAGAAAGGAAGAACATAGTATAAGAACAATATGAAGAGACAAATAAAAATTGGTTTGACAAATCTTCATTAGAAATGGTATTTCAGAGGGGAATGATATTTGATTTATAGAAAGAGAAGTAATACAGCAGATTAGCAGACCTATTGTGCACTTTTTGATAAAGGCTCCAAATTTGGCACAGAGATAGACCGATATATACATTATTATGAACACATTTGGATGTGGAACCATCTGCCTCCTGACGGCAGTGGTGGTTATTTCCAAAAATGGCCACCAGTGGACACCCGAAAGACATCAGAAGTTGGATAAAGTGTGCTGCTAAAGGTTTGTGAATGTTTTTTGAATGTTTTGAATGTAATCATGCCTATTTATAATTCATATACCGGGTGTCCACGTAGAGTGTGGAAAAGCTCTATAGCTCCATTGCAATAAGAAGAAGACGGAAATGGCTCCGGTTCTAAATTTTTGACACATAAATCGAAACTAGCTGAACATATCCTTACTGAATACGGACAACATATGACAGAGTGGAATAATATTAAAATCATCGGAAAAGGAGATAACAACCAGAAGAGAAAAATCAAGGAATCTGCTTGCATTCTTCTGAACGGAGACAATAGCATTGCTTCTTGTTCAGTTGATATAGACAGAACATGGTATTCACTACTAAAATCTGAACATGAAAATGGTAAATTCAAGATTAATTAATGAAAACATCCTGTAACTCATTTGATTGCCAACGTCACCAATTGTCATTGAAAACTGAAAAGCTTCATGACATATTATACGACTTCGCAATTGAAATGATCTCTTCTCATGTTGAAAACGGGAGCAGAATCGGTTCCGAAACGTCCAAAGATAAGTGAAAATTCGATATTTTTTCTACATACCTTTATTTCTCTTCTCCAAAATTTTTTCACTACAAATTGTCAATGACAAGCTAGTGAATTTTTCTTTTAGGCTCTCTGATAGGAAAATTCTTTAAACGCAGTGCCATTTTGGGGCAAATCATCTGATATGTCCTTACTACACGTATATTGAAATAATATTCATATTTTTATTTTATAGAAACGAGGAGAGAAAATCCCAAAAAATTTGGAATAATGAATATTTAATTTATGTTCTTATTTGTAATCCAATCGCAACTGAATTAGTATCGTTAAGATTCGTCAAAATATCCTTTCTCCAGGAAGTGCTTACAAAAGTAAATGAATTATTATCCATGGCACACTTGACAAAAGTAAATAAATTATTATGAAGTATTTTCGTCAGTAATATTCAATTTATGTTCTTATTTGTAATCCAATCGCAAATAAATTAGTATCGATAGATTCGTCAAAATATCCTTTTTTCGGAAAGTGCTTGTCAATAAATGGTTGTCATTTGAAAAATAAAAGCTAGACTCGAAAATGTAATTTTGCCAACTTGTCTTATTTAAATCTATCATACTTGTCACTAAAACTTCGCGATTATAATTTTCTGATATGACATTTACATTTTACTTCAGATTACGTCGAATTCATTCTATAAGTTAGTGAGTTCCTTGCAAGAAAATATATTTCAACCAACTTCATAAGCTGAATTAATTTGTAAAAAAACTGAGAAGTTGAGCTAGTATCTACTTATTTTTCATTATTCCATTCAACTAAAGTCGTCATATTTTAATTAACCTAATAATATGACGTGAAGTAACATTGATTCTATAAAGTACTTCGAGTGTCTTGTGAGAAAACATATTTCTACAAACTTTGGTGAAATTAGTTTGTGAAAAACTGAGAAATTGAACTACTACCGACAGTATCGACTTATATCTAATTATTTTGTGTAACTAGAGTTAGTTAATTGTGTTTTATTCAACCTTACAATGTTATGGATATGAAATATTATATTATTACTACATACTGTCGAGTTCCTTGTAACAAAATATATTTCCATCAACTTCAGTGAATGATAAACTACCTTATTAATATTTTGCGTAACTAGAAAGAATTATCGGTAATAATTGAAGGTCTCGTGGTATTATGAATGAAAGTCTCGTGGTATTATGAATGCAAATTTCATTTTGTTAGTGGAAACAGAGTGGTTACTTATCTATAGCCAGATTCCAATATATGAATAAATATCTTGATCAATATCACGAAACAGACGAGCGCGATATTCAGCTGGAATCAATGATAATGATTCTCAGAGAGCGAAAACTAAATCGCCTCATTATTTTCACAACCCGGATTTACCTTGAAAGTCATTTCGATGCACTTGAATCTTGATGAACGCCGTGACACAAACTGACGGTATTGTGCAAACTTCTCCTTTTATACGGAGATTTCGTTATAAATCGCTAGTATTTCAGATATTTTCTAAATTTCCAGCAAGTTCTATGACACCAGTGGTTTGTGATTTCTTGCTCCGGAACTTTAATTGTTTTGCAAAAAATAAAGTCCACTTACAGTTATGTGGTCTACTGATTGCGATGAAATTTCTTCATGAGGAAACGATCGTAATGCTTCATTAAATGTATAGACTGATGATATTTTGGTCAATATATACGGAAGAGATGAAAGAAATATTATGAATTTTTGATTCGACCTCATTTTAATTAAGTTCTTAGAGAGATTGGGTAATGCAGTGTAGGGAACTTCCTATATATAGTAGCAATTATTGTATTATACTGTATTCTGATTATTAGATTGATTACTATTGTGATGGAGACGAGGAATGTTGATAAAAAAAACACTTCGAACTGAGTGATCAACGGGGGTAGGTCTCGATTTTCTTTTCTGGAGTCGGAACCCATCAGTAGTGAAGGTATTTATGAAAATATTTGTTAACTAATGCATTTGAGCGATTATTTCATTCATCTGAAAATTCACGATTTTGATTGGTTGTAACAGCTGTATTGATAATCGAAAACACTATGTTATCGATTTTGTATTTCGGCACCTGATTGGCTACTTACTGTTTGAGTTTTTGTAGCATGACAGCAGGATATAAATGCTGTCATAATATATTCGTGTTCAGGGAATAAAAACACTACACTTCTATTCAAAACCCAATAGGCACTATCACAATTTGAATTGTCCTCACAATTATTATAAGACAATTCCAAATAATTATTGATTGAGCATGATTCGCATGATATAACCTGAAATAGGAATAATTTTTCAACCACGACTGACGTGACATCTCTACATCTCTCTCTTCTCACTCCCTATGATGTACGCTGCTTTATCCATTCAACGCTTTAATGTATTGTTAGTTGCATAACATCCCTAGTACCTTCGATCGCGAGTGAAGAGGAAGAGTGGATGCGGGATCACGATTGCGGGAAACTCAATTGAGAAGGCTGTGGCCAGTTGTGAAGGAATCAAAGAAAACAAAACTGTTTATATGTTGATAAATATCGTTACTAGGTGTGGTGTATAGCTTGAAGATGGACAGTGGAAATCGTTTCGGTAAATATAGTGTAGAAGAAATGAGAAATGAAGTCGAAGACTTAACGCCTCAAAATACCGTGCGTTCCAAAAAGTATGTTTGGAAACAATTCACAGAATTTTGTGAACAGCGAAATCATCAGCTAAACGAAAATACATCTGATGAAAGACTTGCCAATATTCTCACAGAATGGGCATTTAATATGCGGAAAATCGATGGCAGTGAGTATAAGGACATGTTAGTGAAAACTATTTGGAATAATACAGCTAAATTACTCCAAGAAGAATACTATCATGAATACAATCGAAAATTTGATCCATTCGAAGATATAACATTTGAAGTTGCTAGAAATGCCAAAAATACTAAAAGAAAACAACTACAAAATATTCCGGAAAAACGAAAAAAGTCATGTGTTTCATTTACATCGGAAGAATTGACACAAATTATTCAAAGTTGGGATGAAAATACTCCAAATGGATTACAAAGGAAACTGTATCATATTATTGCAGTGGAATTAGCTTGGCGGGGCGGTGAAGCATGCCGATGTTTGATTCATTATTTCAAGGAAGAAATAAATAACAAGGGAACACCAACTGGAAGACTGGAATATAACCCTATATTCGCGAAAACCGCACAAGGTGGATCAAAAAATATTGCAGAAAGTAAATGCTTGTGTCAAATGAAGAAAATCAAGAAAATTGTCCAGTTCGTTTATTCAAGAAATTGATGTCAAAAAGGGGAGAGAACATTAAAAAAACTGATCGACTATTTTTGACAGTTAATGGTAATTGAAATAAAGATCATAAAAGTCCTTGGTTTAAAAATATGCCAATGAGTATAAATGAAATAAGTAAATGGACCAAATTGTCAGCTGAAAAGATCGGTTTAGATACAAAAAACGTGAAAATATCAATACAATACAGCTGTGAGTCAATTGGCAAGTTCTGGAATTGGGGAACAACAGATAATAAAAGTTACTGGGTACAGTAGTTCAATGTCATTGAAACCATATTTACAACTGAGCAAAGAACATCATGCTGATATAATATCAAAATAAATAATTGCAATAACTGTACATTCAATATAAATATTAACAATAAATAGGTAGTGAAAGTGGTTTATTTTTCATTCATGAAATAATCTTGACAAATACAACACGTGTAATTGATGATTATCGAAAATTCCTTCTCTTTTTCGAAACAAATTGTGTTGCTTTTAGGCAACCACACTCGCGCTATGCGCTCGTGTGGTTTCCAAGCAACACAATTTGTTTCTCAAAATCGAAGGAATTTGTGTTTCGATAATCATCAATACACTTGTTGTATTACAAGCGATAATAGATAAACTCATTCGTCACCTACAGGAGTATGAATTATCCATGGAAATATCACTCATGATCTCCCTAGCAGCAGAATTATTATTTTTCGAGTTCACGAATAATTTTGTTAATAGAAAATTATCCCGAGGCGAAGACGTGGAAAACAAACATGAGTGAAACGGAGATGACATTTTTGCTCTAAATCCCAAAATGATTTAGATATAGGTATATTTTCAGTACCAGAATCATAATAGTCATTTATGTACGACGCGTGAAGTGACCTATCTTCGCCCGAATTTGGGCGTTAAGTAGTCCTTTAGCGCCTTAGGGCGATAAAGGAGTACAGCGAGCGGTAAAGTTGCTGATCGGGCGGTAAAGTAAACTCACTGTTTTTCCAGTAATTCCTAGTAGACTACCGTTCAATCTTCCTTCACACAAATGATTTAGCCAAATGAATTCAAAATCATGAATAAATTCCGAATTGACAGTAAAGGCGGATCTATGCACACCGCTTTTAGATTTATCTGTAATTTCACAATCATTTACGATTTCACTAATAAGTTAAAACTTGGTATTCCCGTTCATCCATTTATGCACCTAAATTGGATTTTATGTTTCATTAACTTTTCGCTAAAATATGACCAACTTTTATCTCTTTACGACAAATACAAATGAAATGGCGTGTTAAGAGCCCTCGCTGTCGCTCGAGCTCTTACTTACACGCTGCTGTCCATAAAAGCCTACTTTACGCCCTTGATACATAAATAACTATTATAGACGCCCGGCGTTCAGCTCACTCGTAAGAAGCATTACTGTATAATTCAGGACATTTTCTTTTAGTTGTGATGATTCATTATCTCATATTACAGTTCTCTCGATATCTTGAGACCCAAAATGATTGATAGGATTGAACTAAAAATGAGTTTTTTCTACAAACGTCAAAAAATGACAAGGTTTGCACATTGATAACAATTTGCCACTTTTTTCAGTTTCCTACGTTACCACGATACCATGTGCGGAGCAGTGCGCGAAGTACATACTTCGCGCATTGTATGTAAACTATATGATATTCTTGTATTTAAACTTCATGGTCCTCAAACGAGCCAACATCCCAGAAACCAATTAGGTGAGTACTTTCGTAAAAATGAAGCTCTCATCTTTGTGGACAAGTCATTCTTTGCTACCCATGACAATAAACGTAAAACACAATGTGTTACAATCCACAATATAATATCTTAGAAGATTGTAACTAATAATTATATCGATAAACGATCAAAAAACTTTTATTCAGATTACTGACATCAATCTGACAATCATTCAAAAAATTCTAATGACATCCATCACTCTCAGTTCCAATAACAAAAAAAATACAGGATGGTAAATCATTTCAATATTTAACATTCTCCAACCTCCAGCTTAAGAAGACTATTTACTGGTCTAACCAAAGTGCCCTCTTGAGTCTTGATTTCTACGGAACGGATTTGATTGTCATGACCAGCTATTTCTTTGGTGATTCTTCCCAAAGTCCATTTCTTTCGGAACTTACTGTCAGGAAGAGCTACTACATCATCTACTTGTAGCGGTTTATTTTTCTCGTACCACTTCGTTCTTTTTCTGAGTGCTGGAACATACTCCTTACACCATCTCTTCCAATAACGCTCCGCCATCAATTGGGCAATCTTCCATTGCTTGCGGCCGTACATATCACCAGGTCCAAATACTCCAGAAACATTCGATGTATTGGCTGTCCCAATTAGAAAGTGCATCGGAGTGAGAGCTTCCAGTTCACCACATTCACTCGAAACGAAGCTTATCGGTCTAGAGTTGACAATGCTTTCAGTTTCGGCCAACAGTGTTGTAAGTAGCTCTTCTGATGGATGCTGTTCTTTGAGAATTATATACAGTACTTTCTTCACGCTCTGGATCATCCTTTCCCATATACCTCCTTGAAAGGGTGCTGCTGGAGTATTAAATTTCCACTTAATTTTATATCTGGTCAAATCTTGGGTGATTTTTGCGCGATCCATCTCCTCCAGACATCGTTTCATCTCGTTCTCTGCCCCAACAAAATTTGTTCCATTATCAGAACAAATCTCCAATGGCTGTCCACGTCTAGATATAAATCTGTGAATGGCCATCAATGCGGAATCCGTTGTCAGGGAACTAGCCAATTCGATATGGATTGCTCGTGTGTTGAAACACGTAAAAATAACACCATACCTTTTCTCCACACTTCTCTTCACTTTCACCAACAATGGACCGAAATAATCTAAGCCACAAAAACTGAATGGCCTTGTATATGGCTTGAGGCGTGAGATTGGTAATGGTGCCATCTCAGGTTGAACTACCTTGGATTTCTTTATTCGGCAAAACTGGCATCTTCTCACTGCCATCTTTACAGATTGTCGAGTTCTGATTATCCAAAATCTTTGCTTCAGATTATTTATCAGAGTCTCATGTCCTGTGTGTTTCAATTCATCATGGAAGTGTAGAATGAGCAATTGGACGGACAATTCATCTTTCGCTGTCGGTAAGATGATAGGGTACTTCAAATCAAAGGG